AGCAGCTGGAAAACTGTCATCAGCTCCTGGGATGGCAAGAGGGAGGGTTTAAAACACAAAACCACCATTTCTGCATGTGCTGGGATTGCTCAGAGCTGGGTGACTCCCACTTCCGTGTTTTGCAAGGTTGGTACCATAAAATATTCTTTAATGCATGCAAATAAACTCTCATAAATGGTGGTGGTACACACAGCAGCAGGCTGATAGAATATAGTGATTTAGGCACCTCATTAAGGAATTCCCTCAGTCTTTGGGGGAAACATCCCATCTTGTGGAGCTCTTGCTCCCCTGTTTTCAGGGATGAATCTCACTAATTAACTGGACTACTGCAATTAGGACATTTGGAAATATCACAGTGACAGTGAGAAACACAATTGCAAGGGTAATACTGGAATTACCCCAAATCTGATCTGGATCAAAGGGAAACCCCGAGTTTATTCCCCGTGGAAAAAACTGAAAATAGACCTGGGAGACCAACCCAAACATCCCTTAACCAAACCAGGAGTGGGACCTGGGTAGAAGAGGAACAGGATCTGCACAAACTGGACACAGCACCTGGAATTCCAGCATGGATTTTCCCTTGTTGGACTCCAGCATGAAGCGGAAGGCCCCGATCCCGGTGTTGGGATTATCTGCCTCTTCTCGGTTGCCCTGCAGAGAAATTCCAGCTATGGAGCTGCCATTCTCATTCCCGGGAATTCCCAATCCTGGAATTCCCAGTGGGATTCAGGAGAGCCTAATGCCAGCACAGGCTGAGCTGTCACACGTGAATGTGACAGCCTGGTCAGACACAGAGAAGCTGAGTAAGTTTTCCCAGAATCGTCCTGGGAAGCTTTAGGGAGATAAACAGTGACAGCCAAATATTAAAAAGAATCTGCAGTTGATGGTTTTTAACAATCTGTTTTGCATGGAATTAGAAAAAAAGTTTAGAAATTAGAAAAAATTAGCTTCTGATTGCGATGGTGTGAATTATAACATTTGTCTGTATTGCCTCACCCTACACACGAGACTGAAAACGGAATAAAATTTTTTCAAACGCCTCTAAATTACCCCATCTCAGGGTCAGAAAATGGCTTAACCTGACCCAAAAAAAGACCAACCACGACACCCCTGCTCACGTTGAAGGACGCCAGGGCCTCGGAGACACTCTTCTCGATGAAGTCGTCGGTGATGCGGCGGGAGGGGTGCTCGTTGAACACGGAGTTCATCAGCGCGATCTTGGCCGCGCTCCGGCGCGCCTCGGCCTTGGTGGGACAGAACTGGGGACACACGGCCACACTGGGGACACCCCAGCACCTCCACGCCCCTCCCCGAGCACCAGGAATGGGGGCTGGGGGGGGGGAATTAGGAAGTGACACCCCCAGAATCAGAACTGCCTGTTGCGTTGGCGATTCATTTGATTTAATTCATTTTTTCAGACCCAAAGTGTTCCCAAATCTGCCCCAGGATTTGGGGACAGAACCAAAACAGGTTTGGAACCTCCTGTTGCACAGTCAATTAATTAATTTAATTAATTTTTTCAGACACAAACTGTTCCCAAATTCCCTCCTGAGACCAGGATTTTGGGACAGAACCAAAAGAGGTTCAGAACCTCCCACTGCATTCTCAACTAATTAATTAAATTTAATTTAATCCTGGGAAGGAGAAGGAAGGATCTAATCCTGGGAAGGAGGAGAAAAAATCACATCCTGGGAAGGAGGAGGAAGGGGATCAAACTCTGGGAAGGAGAAGGAGGGATCTAATCCTGGGAAGGATCAAATCCTGGAAAGGAAAAGGAAGGATGAAATCCTGGGAAGGAAAAGGAAGGATCACATCCTGGGAAGGAAGGATCTAATCCTGGGAAGGAGAAGGAAGATCAGATCCAGCCAATCCAACAGTTTTCCCTGATACCCCATCTCCTATTTCAGCACTGAATTGTAAGTGACCAGAATAGGCAATAAAGGACACCAAAACCCCACAATCCACAGACAAATCTTCCCAGATTGGGACCTGATGGCAATTTACACACCAGCAGCAACTTGCAATTAAATCTCCTTGCAACTAAAGAGGTTTAGAGCCAGATTTGGAACCTCCTGTTGCACAGTCAATTAATTAATTTAATTAATTTTTTCAGACACAAACTGTTCCCAAATTCCCTCCTGAGACCAGGATTTTGGGACAGAACCAAAACAGGTTTGGAACCTCCCACTGCATTCTAAACTAATTAATTAAATTTAATTTAATCCTGGGAAGGAGAAGGAAGGATCTAATCCTGGGAAGGATCAAATCCTGGAAAGGAAAAGGAAGGATGAAATCCTGGGAAGGAAAAGGAAGGATCACATCCTGGGAAGGAAGGCTCTAATCCTGGGAAGGAGAAGGAAGGATCTAATCCTGGGAAGGAGGAGAAAAAATCACATCCTGGGAAGGAGGAGGAAGGGGATCAAACTCTGGGAAGGAGAAGGAGGGATCTAATCCTGGGAAGGATCAAATCCTGGAAAGGAAAAGGAAGGATGAAATCCTGGGAAGGAAAAGGAAGGATCACATCCTGGGAAGGAAAAGGAAGGACCACATCCTGGGAAGGAAAAGGAAGGATCACATCCTGGGAAGGAAGGATCTAATCCTGGGAAGGAGAAGGAAGATCAGATCCAGCCAATCCAACAGTTTTCCCTGATATCCCATCTCCTATTTCAGCACTGAATTGTAAGTGACCAGAATAGGCAAAAAAGGACACCAAAACCCCACAATCCACAGACAAATCTTCCCAGATTGGGACCTGATGGCAATTTACACACCAGCAGCAACTTGCAATTAAATCTCCTTGCAACTAAAGAGGTTTAGAGCCAGATTCAGGAAAGAGAACGCCCAGCAGGGAGGAGATATTTGGGAAAGGATCCCGGTGGGGTCCGGGAGAGGCATTCCCGGGGTGGGGATTGTACCTGGAAGCTGCCAAAGCAGCTGCCCCCCGGCAGGGTGACACGAGAGGCATTCCCGGGGTGGGGAGAGGCATTCCCGGGGTGGGGATTGTACCTGGAAGCTGCCAAAGCAGCTGCCCCCCGGCAGGGTGACATAGCAGACGTAGGGGGGGCTGGTGGCCGGCACCATCTCGTAGAGAACCAGGGCGCCGTTGCGAAGCTCGGCCCCGCGGGATTGCTTCATCTGCCAGAACTCCTGCAGCGCCTCCACCACGTTCACTGCCCGGAGAACCCGCGGGGGGCGGAATTGGGGCGTGGAAAGAAGGAAAAGGGGGAGGAAAGAAGGAAAAGGGGGAGGAAAGAAGGAAAAGGGGGGTGGAAAGATGGAAAAGGGGGTGGAAAGATGGAAAAGGGGGTGGAAAGAAGGAATTGGGGAGTGGAAAGATGGAAAAGGGGGTGGAAAGAAGGAAAAGGGGATGGAAAGAAGGAATTGGGACGTGGAAAGATGGAAAAGGGGGATGGAAAGAAGGAAAAGGAGGTGGAAAGAAGGAAAAGGGGATGGAAAGAAGGAATTGGGACGTGGAAAGATGGAAAAGGGGGATGGAAAGAAGGAAAAGGAGGTGGAAAGAAGGAAAAGGGGATGGAAAGAAGGAATTGGGACGTGGAAAGATGGAAAAGGGGGATGGAAAGAAGGAAAAGGAGGTGGAAAGAAGGAAAAGGGGATGGAAAGAAGGAATTGGGACGTGGAAAGATGGAAAAGGGGGATGGAAAGAAGGAAAAGGAGGTGGAAAGAAGGAAAAGGGGATGGAAAGAAGGAATTGGGACGTGGAAAGATGGAAAAGGGGGATGGAAAGAAGGAAAAGGAGGTGGAAAGAAGGAAAAGGGGATGGAAAGAAGGAATTGGGACGTGGAAAGATGGAAAAGGGGGATGGAAAGAAGGAAAAGGAGGTGGAAAGAAGGAAAAGGGGATGGAAAGAAGGAATTGGGACGTGGAAAGATGGAAAAGGGGGATGGAAAGAAGGAAAAGGAGGTGGAAAGAAGGAAAAGGGGATGGAAAGAAGGAATTGGGACGTGGAAAGATGGAAAAGGGGGATGGAAAGAAGGAAAAGGAGGTGGAAAGAAGGAAAAGGGGATGGAAAGAAGGAATTGGGACGTGGAAAGATGGAAAAGGGGGATGGAAAGAAGGAAAAGGAGGTGGAAAGAAGGAAAAGGGGATGGAAAGAAGGAATTGGGACGTGGAAAGATGGAAAAGGGGGATGGAAAGAAGGAAAAGGAGGTGGAAAGAAGGAAAAGGGGATGGAAAGAAGGAATTGGGACGTGGAAAGATGGAAAAGGGGGATGGAAAGAGAAGGAAGGAAGGAAGGAAGGAAGGAAGGAAGGAAGGAAGGAAGGAAATGGGGCACGAAAGAAGGAAAAGAAGGGAGTGAGCAAGGAAGGAAATGGGGCATGGAAAGAAGGAAAAAGGGGTGAGGAAGGAAGGAAAGAAGGGAAAAAGGGAATGAAGGAAGGGAATGGGGCATGGAAAGAAGGAAAAGGAAGGATGGAAGGAAGGAAGGAAGGAAGGAAGGAAGGAAGGAAGGAAGGAAGGGGGGCATAGAAATAAGGAAAAGGGACAGGGAAATAAGGAAAAATGACAGAAAAATAAGGAAAAGCGAAAAAAGGGAATGAGGGAAAATCGACTCCCACCCCAGCCCGGCCTGTCGGCACCCCCGGCTCCCCCCGGCCCCGCTCACCGCGGCCGTAGCCCGCGGGGCCCGGCGCCCACCCCGGGCTGCAGCCGCTGCGCCCGCACCGCCTCCATAGTCGCGCTCCCTCCTCAGCGCCGCGCTGTCAATCAGCGCCGCTCCGCGCCCGGCACACCAATAGGAGCGCCGGATCGGGGACGGGGGAGGCGGGGAAAGCACCAGGAGGCCAATCACAACGCGGTGCGCGGCTCGAGGGGCGGGGTCAGGGCGCGGCGCACTCACCCACTAACACAAATAGCGGTGTGTGGTCGTGGGGCGGTAAGGAGGCGGGGATTTGGGGGCCATTGTCCAATCGTATTTCGGAAACTTTAGATTGACGAGAGAATAAGCGAATCAAAATGCAGGAAGCACAAGCCAGCAGAGATGACGGTACGGGATGACAGCCCCGCTCTTATTGATCAGGAGAAGCAATTAGCGGCGAAAGAAACCAATCAAACTCCTCGACACAGACTTAGAGGCGGAGATTCCTGCTGTCGCCCATTCACGAGCACTGTTTTGGTCGCGGCGGGCGGGTCCGCCCTCAGCCAATGGGAAAGAGCCGCGGCGGTACCGGAAGTGACGCCGGTGTACCGGGCTCGGTACCGGGCCCGCGCCATGGAGGCCTGGGTGCGCTTCAGCGCCCAGAGCCAGGCCCGGGAGCGCCTCCTCAGGTGCAGCCTCGGCTCCCCGGGGAGGGGGATCAGGGGAGGGGGATCCCGGGGGTCCCAGAACCCCGGGGTGGCTTTGGGCCAGAGGAGATCGCAGAGAACCGGGAGGGGTCCGAAGCACCGGGGTGGCATCCCCGGTTCCCCCCTCCCTGACTCCCTCGTTGTCCTCAGGGCCGCTCAGTACGCCTGTGTGTTGGCCGGGGCCGCGCTGAGCCGCGCCGGGAACGGCTCCGGGGGCAGCTCCGGGACCCTGAGCCGCCTGCAGCAGCTGGAGGCTCACCTGAGCCTGGGCCGCAAGCGTGAGTGGGCTGGGGGGGGTCGGGGGTTTGAGGGGGGTTTTGGGGTCTGCACACCCCCATGGTGACCCCCTTCTGCAGTGCTGCGTTTGGGGGGCTCTGGGAGGGGGTTTGAGGGGGGGTTTTGGGGTCTGCACACCCCCATGGTGACCCCCTTCTGCAGTGCTGCGTTTGGGGGGCTCTGGGAGGGGGTTTGAGGGGGGGTTTTGGGGTCTGCACACCCCCATGGTGACCCCCTTCTGCAGTGCTGCGTTTGGGGGGCTCTGGGAGGGGGTTTGAGGGGGGGTTTTGGGGTCTGCACACCCCCATGGTGACCCCCTTCTGCAGTGCTGCGTTTGGGGGGCTCTGGGAGGGGGTTTGAGGGGGGGTTTTGGGGTCTGCACACCCCCATGGTGACCCCCTTCTGCAGTGCTGCGTTTGGGGGGCTCTGGGAGGGGGTTTGAGGGGGGGTTTTGGGGTCTGCACACCCCCATGGTGACCCCCTTCTGCAGTGCTGCGTTTGGGGGGCTCTGGGAGGGGGTTTGAGGGGGGGTTTTGGGGTCTGCACACCCTCATGGTGTCCCCCTTCTGCAGTGCTGCAATTTGGGGGCCTCAGTGTGGTTTTTAGGGGGGATTTTGGGGTCTCACACCCCTGGTGTCCCCCTCCTTCAGTGTTGCATTTGGAGGACTCAGGGTGGTTTTTAGGGGGGATTTTGGGGTCCCCCTCCCTCAGTGCTGCATTTTGGGGGGGACTCAGGGCGGTTTTTAGGGGGGATTTTGGGCTCTCACACCCCCCCGGTGTCCCGCAGTGCTGCATTTTGGGGGGCTCAGGGCGGTTTTTAGGGGGGATTTTGGGCTCTCACACCCCCCTGGTGTCCCCCTGGTGTCCCCCTCCCGCAGTGCTGCGTTTGGGGGGCTCAGGGCAGTTTTTAGGGGGGATTTTGGGCTCTCACACCCCCGATGTCCCGCAGTGCTGCGTTTGGGGGGCTCAGGGTGGTTTTTAGGGTGGATTTTGGGGTCTCACACCCCCCTGGTGTCCCCCCGGTGTCCCCCTCCCGCAGTGCTGCGTTTGGGGGGCTCGGCCGAGGCCCTGGGGGGGGCCCAGCGCTCGCTGCACCTGCCCGACCCCGTGCTGCGTTTCTGCCTCACCCTGTCCCACCTGAACCGGGCTCTGTTCCTGGCCTGTGACAACGTCCTGTGGGCCGGGAAAACCGGGATCCTGCCCGGCCTTGCCACGGAGAAATGGAGCCAGAGGTCCTTCAGGTGAGAGAGGGGCTGGGCTTGGCTGCAGGGGAGGTTGGGGAGGTCTCCTGAGCTGGGGAGAGCATCCTCAGCTGGGTGGGGTGAGCAGGAGTGGGGTTCCCCTGGGGAAAGGGAAGAATGGAATTCCCCAGGGAGAGCAGGGAATGGGATTTCTGAGGGAGAGCAGGGAATGGAATTCCCCTGGGGAAAATAAGGAGTGGGATTCCTAAGGGAGAGCAGGGAATGGGGTTCCCCTGGGGAAAAGAAAGAATGGAATTCCCAAGGGAGAGCAGGGAGTGGAAATTCCCGAGGGAGAGCAGGGAATGGGGATTCCTGAGGGAAAAGAAAGAATGGAATTCCCAGGGGAGAGCAGGGAATTGGATTTCTGAGGGTGAGCATAGAATGGGATTTCCCTGGGGAGAATAAGGAATGGAATTCCTAAGGGAGAGCAGGGAGTGGGGATTCCTGAGGGAGAGCAGGGAATTGGATTCCTGAGGGAGAGCAGGGAATGGAATTACTGTGGGGAAAATAAGGAGTGGGATTCCCAAGGGTGAGCAGGCAATGGAATTGCCCTGGGGAGAATAAGGAATGGAATTCCCCAGAGAGAGCAGGGAATGAGATTCCTGAGGGAAAGAAGAGAATGGGATTCCTGAGGAAGAGAGGGAATGGGGAGAATGAGGAATGCAATCCCATGGGAGAGCTGAACATGCCTCTTCCCTTCCCCCCATTCCCATTCCCCAATTCCCATTTCCTCAATCCCCATTCCCCCAATTCCCATTTCCTCAATCCCCATCCTCCCAATCCCCATTCCCCTAATTCCCATTTCCCTAATTCCCATTCCCCCAATTCCCATTTCCTCAATCCCCATCCTCCCAATCCCCATTCCCCCCATTCATATTCCCCCCAATCCCCACCCCCCCAATCCTCATCCCCCCAATCCCCATTCCCCTCATCCCCCCACTCCCCAATCCCCATTCCCTTCCTGCGGCTGCTGGGAGCCCCCAGCCCCCTTCCCCACCTCGCTCCCTCTTTCCCGCAGGTATTTCCTCTTCGCCCTGCTGGTGAACCTCAGCCGGGACGCCTACGAGCTCCGCCTGCTGCTGGAGCGCGCCGCGGCCGCCAGGAAGCGCGGCAGGAGCCCGGAGCAGCAAGCCCGGCTGCAGGCTGAGGGCAGGACCCGGCGCCTCCGGCTGCAGCTGCAGCTCCAGCTGCAGCTCCTGCTACTGGGAATGCGCGACAACCCCCCACTGCTGCTGGACCTGCTGCGCAACGCCTGCGACCTGGCGATCCCTCTGGAGAAGCTGGGGCTGTGCCGGAGCAGCCCCGGCATCCTGGGCTTCTGTGGGCTCACCTCCTCCGTGCTCTCCATCATCACCATCCTCCACCCCTGGCTCAAGCTCAAGCCGTAGTTTTCTTGGGATTTTGGGGATTCTGGGGGGGTTTTGGCACCTCTGGAAGTGACTGGTTGGTGCCGTTCCCGTCGTTCCTGACTCTTTAGAGCCTCAAAGTTCCAGCGTTGGATCCCACAGGGATGTCAGCTCCCCAAATGTGGTTTTTCCCATTGACTTTTCCAGAAATTTTAGGGAAAAAATTGGGATTGAACGTTCCCCCTCTTTGTCTGGGGAGAGCCTTTCACCTGGAGCCAGCTAACAGGGAATATTTGGGGCTGGAAAATGTGGATTTGGGCTGGAAAATGTGGATTGCTGGAGGCTTCTCATGGTTTTTTTGGGGGGTAAATTTGTGGACAATTTTTTCCTGCCTTATAAAAAAAAATCTGAGTGCAGGGAGAAGGGAATGGGAAAAATAAGTGTCAGGAATAAATCCATGGCTCTGGGGGGAAATTCAGGCAGGGTCAGTCCCTGGGAGAGCAGGAATATCCTCTCAAAGGTTTTTTGGGAGCTCCAAATTATTAAATTGCAGAGGCAGGTTGTCCTTGGGAGAGCAGGAATAGGTTGGAAGGTTTTTTGGGAGCTCCATCCTGAACTCCTGGGCCCATCTGGGTTGTGCCAAAGGCTTTTTTATTTTTTATTTTGTTTTTTATTTTATTTTTTTTTCTGGGAAAAGCAGGATTGAAGGCTTTGGAGCAGTGTGTGTGATTTGGGTGGGAAGCACTCCAGGGGATCCCACAGTGTCAGTGTAATTAATGACTAATTTAATGATTAAAGTGCAGCAAACACTGCCTCAAACACTCCTGGGGCTCTGGGGGCTGTGCCCATTCCCTGGGTCAGTGCCCAGCACGCTCGGGGGAAGAGCCTGGTTCTGGTCCTAGACCTGGTTCTGGTTCTAAACCTGGTTCTGGTCCTAAACCTGGTTCTGGTCCTAGACCTGGTTCTGGTCCTGAACCTGGTTCTGGTCCTAATTCTGGTTCTGGTCCTAGACCTGGTTCTGGTCCTGAACCTGGTTCTGGTCCTAATTCTGGTTCTGGTCCTAGACCTGGTTCTGGTCCTGAACCTGGTTCTGGTCCTAATTCTGGTTCTGGTCCTAGACCTGGTTCTGGTCCTGAACCTGGTTCTGGTGCTGAACCTGGTTCTGGTCCTAAACCTGGTTCTGATCCCAAACCTGGTTCTGATCCCCACCCAAACCTGGGTCTGATGCCCTCCTAAAACTGGTTCTGATACAAAGCCTGGTTCTGGTGCCTACCTAACCCTGCCCCTGAACTGGGAGTACTGGGCTGAACTGGGAATGCTGGACTGGGGGCACTGGGATGGGCTGGGGGCACTGAGTTGAACTGGGAATACTGGGATGGGATGATGTGGGAATGCTGGACTGGGACTACTGGGATGGGCTGGGGGCACTGGGATGGGCTGGGGATGCCTGACTGGGATGGACTGGGCTGAACTGGGAATGCTGGGCTGGGATGGGCTGGGGGCACTGGGCTGAGCTGGGGCGCAGTGCCTCAGTTTCCTCGTGCCTCAGTTTCCCCGTGCCTCAGTTTCCCCGTTTCCCCGTGCCTCAGTTTCCCCGTGCCTCAGTTTCCCCCTGCCTCAGTTTCCCCATGCCTCAGTTTCCCCGTTCCCCCGTTTCCCCGTGCCTCAGTTTCCCCGTGCCTCAGTTTCCCCGTTTCCCGTGCCTCAGTTTCCCCGCGCTGCCGGAGGCCCAGCCTGGGCGGGGCCGGAGCTGCACAGTCGCTGTTTGTCTGTTTTTCTCCTCATTCCTTGGCTTTTTTAATTTATTTTTTTTTAAATTCCCCCTGAAAATTCCTGCCCGTCCCGCAGCCTCTGGCAGCACAAGTTTCCCTCTGTCCTAAATCGCGGAGTTTGAATTTTTTTTCCTTTTTTTTTTTTTCCTTTTTTTTTTTTTTTCTCCCTTTTTTTTTTTTTAACTCAGCCCGGCTGGTGGCAGTGTCACCCGGAGGACGTGGCAACCCAAAACCCACCGAAATCCACCCAAAATCCGCCCAAACCCAAACCAAACCCCACCCAGACCCCCCAAAAAAACCCTTTTCCCACCTCCCCACTCCGGGGAATATCCAGGTGTCACTGCCACCTCTGTGGGTTCAATCCTTGGGGAAAATTCCGATTTTTCCACCCCCTTTTCCCCAGAAAAAAAGTGGAAAAATCCCCTTCAAGCATCCAGGACCCCCCAAAAATAAAAACCCTGCGCCCACCTCCTCCCTTTTTCTCTTTTTCCTGTGTTTTTACCGCTTTGCCTGTTTTTTTCCCCTGAAATTTCACCTCCCCCCCCATCCAAAACCACATTTATTTTTAGCAGCCAATTGAAGATGAAGGAGGAGGGAAAATAAACTGGAAAAAAAAAAACCCAAAAAAAGGGATTTTGTGCCTTTTGGAGTCAGAATCACCTTGGAGCTGCAGAAATGAGAGGTGTGGGGAACCAGGGGCTGCTCCTGGTGCTGATCCTGCTCCCAGGTAACCCCAAAAAAACCCCAAAAATCCCTTTATTTTGGGTCGTTTCGGGCTTTTTCCAGGCTGGGATTGGGATCAGAATTGGGATTTAGGGCTCGGTTGGGATTGGGGTTTGAATGATCCGAGTGAGCCACGTGGGGGTCCCTCCTGCTCTCTCTGAGAGGGGGGATTTTGGGATAAAACCAGCCAGTTTTGGTCATTTCTCCCCACTTAATTTATTTTGGGGCTTTTTGAGAAGAAGAAAACACCAAAATCCCTTTAAAACCAGCCAATTTTAGTAATTTCCCCCCTCCTAATTGGAGTTTTTTTGGTCCTTTTAAACCAGCCAGTTTTGGTAATTTCCTCCCTCCTAATTGGAGTTTTTTTGGAGGGAAAAAAACCACCAAAATCTCTTTAAAACCGACCAGTTTTGGTCATTTCCCCCCTCCTAATTGATTTTGGAGCTTTTTTGGAGGGAAAAAAACACCAAAATCTCTTTTAAACCAGCCAATTTTAGTAATTTCCCCCCCCCTCCTAATTGATTTTGGAGCTTTTTTGGAGGGAAAAAAACACCAAAATCCCTTTTAAACCAGCCAAATTTGGTCATTTCCTCCCTCCTAATTGATTTTGCAGTTTTTTTGGAGGGAAAACCCACCAAAATCTCTTTGGATTTAGGCCGGGCTCAAGGTGGGAAGGGGAACTCAGGAGAGGAAGTAAAACCCGGGATTTTTCATGGAAAAATCTTATTTTTAACGGGGGTTTTTTGGGGGGAAAAAGACGAAAAAGGGAATTTGCGCGCCCTCGGGACCCTCCTTGACCTCGGCAGGGCTCGCTGGGGGCTTCAACATCGACGTGGGGCGTCCCAGGCTCTTCCGGGGGCCACCAGAGTCCCAGTTTGGCTACCGGGTGCTGCAGCGGGGGGGCCACGGGGACACGTGGTGAGTGAGCCCCGGGGGACACGGGGAAACTGAGGCAGGAAAGGGGAAACTGAGGCACGAGCGGGGAAACTGAGGCACGAGCGGGGAAACTGAGGAACAAGGGGGGAAACTGAGGCACGAGCGGGGAAACTGAGGCAGGAAAGGGGAAACTGAGGCACGAGTGGGGAAACTGAGGCACGAGTGGAAAAAATGAGGTAGGAGTGGGGAAACTGAGGCAGGAAAGGGGAAACTGGGGCAGGAGTGGGGAAACTCAGGCAGGAGGGGGGGAAACTGAGGCACGAGCGGGGAAACTGAGGCAGGAAAGGGGAAACTGAGGCAGGAGTGGTTGAGGCAGGAAGGGTGGGCAGAGGGGGAAGGGGGGTGGGGAAAAGGAAAATGGAGCAGGGAAGGGGAAACTGAGGCAGGAAAGGTGGGGAGGGGGTGGGAGGAGGAAAATGAAGCAGGGAAGGGGAAAAATCAGGTTGGTAAAGGGAAACTGAGGCAGGAATGGGGAAACTGAGGCAGGAAGGAGGGCAGTGAGGTTGGAAAGGGGAAACTGAGGCAGGAAAGGAGGGCAGTGAGGTGGGAAAGGGGTAAACGAGGAGGAGAAGAGAGAAACCTAGGGTGGGTGGACTGGGGCGGGAAAGGTGGGGAGAGGGGGTTTGAGGGGTGTCCCTGTGGGTTTGGGGGTTCCCTGTGGGTTTGAGAGGTTCCTGTGGGTTTGGGGGACCCTGTGGTTTTGTGGGTTCCCCGTGGGTTTGGGGTTCACTGTAGATTTGGGTGATGTCCCTGTGGGTTTGGGGGTCCCTGTGGTTTTGGGGGTTTCCCGTGATTTGAGGGTCCCCTGTGGATTTGAGGTGTCCCTGTGGATTTGGGGGTCCCTGTGGGTTTGGGGGTCCCTGTGGGTTTGGGAGTTCCCCGTGATTTGGGGGTCCCCTGTGGATTTGAGGTGTCCCTGTGGATTTGGGGTCCCTGTGGGTTTGGGGTTCCCCGGGGGTTTGGGGGATGTTTTGGGGCTCCCTCTGCCTCTGAACGTCCCCGTTCCGGGTGGGGGTGCCGCGGCACATGGAGCCCCCCATGGCCCAGAGCCTGCTGAGCTTTTGGGGTCCCCCCGAGGTGCTGACCCCGTTTTTGTCCCCGTTGCCCCCGAGGCGCCGCAATCCCGTGGCTCAGCAGCAGCGCCGGCCACCTCGGCATGACTCTGTCGCACTCCGAGGACGGCGGCTCTGTGGTGAGCGGAGGGAAACTGAGGCAGGGCGGTGGGGCCAGGGCGGTGACGTCACCCCAAAAAAGGCGTGCGCCCCGCTTTGGTCCCAGGAATGCGGCACCTCCGTGTTCAGCACCGGCCGCTGCGTCCGGCTCGACGAGGAGCTCCGGCCGCTGGGCACCGTGGCGCCCACAGCCCAGCGTGAGTGGGGTGGCACGTCCTGGGAGCCGCCGGCCTGTGCCACCCCCGGTGTCACCGTGTCCCCCGCCAGGTTGTCCTACCTTCATGGACATCGTCCTGGTGCTGGACGGCTCCAACAGCATCTACCCCTGGGAGGAGGTGCAGGCCTTCCTGGGGAACATCCTGGGGCGCTTCTTCATCGGGCCTGGGCAGACACAGGTCAGGGTGGGGCGCCTTGGTGGCACCGCGGTGTCCCCAGGGCTGCGGGGGTGTCCCCAGGGCAAGGGGACTGTCCCCAGGGCTGGGAGGGTGTCCCCAGGGCAAAGGGACTGTCCCCAGGGCAGTGCTGTTGGCCCCTGGGGTGGTGCCAGCCTGGGGGTGATGTCATTGTCCCTTGGGATGATGTCATCGTCCCTTGGGGTGATGTCATTGTCCCTCGGGGTGATGGCATTGTCCCTGGGATGATGTCATTGTCCCTGGAGTGATGTCATTGTCCCTTGGGGTGATGGCATTGTCCCCGGGATGATGTCATTGCCCCATGCTTTGGGGATTTGAGGGGTCTCCATAGAGTTGGGGGATTCCCTGGGGATTTGAGGGGTGTCCCTGTGGGTTTGGGGGTTCCCTGTGGGTTTGGGGACCTCCTCGGGAATTGAGGGGTGTCCCTGTGGATTTGGGGGTTCCCTGGGGAATTGAGGGGTGTCCCTGTGGGTTTGGGGGTTCCCTGTGGGTTTGGGGACCTCCTCGGGAATTGAGGGGTGTCCCTGTGGATTTGGGGGTTCCCTGGGGAATTGAGGGGTGTCCCTGTGGGTTTGGGGGTTCCCTGTGGATCTGGGGCCTCCCCCTGGCTCTGACCCTCCCCGCTGCAGGTCGGGGTGCTGCAGTACGGGGAGCGCCTGGTGCAGGAGTGGGCGCTGGGGGAGCACCCCACGGCCCAGAGCCTGCTGGAGGCCGCGCGGAACCTGACGCGGCAGGAGGGGAGGGAGACCAGGACGGCCATGGCCATCCGGGAGGCATGGTGGGCTCGGGGTCGGGGTCGGGATGGGGGTGGGATTGGGAGAGGGAGTGAGATGGGATTGGGAGCGGGATTGGAATGGGATTGGGAGAGGGATTGGGATGGGATTGGGAGAGGGAGTGGGGCTGGGATTGGGGTAAGAGTTGGGTTTAAGGTCTTGATTGGGATTGGGATTTGAATAAAGATCGGGATTGGAACTGGTGTCAGGTTTGGGATCAAGTCAGGACTTGGATTGGGGTTGGGAGAGGGAGTGGGGCTGGGATTGGGGTCAGAATTGGGATTGAGGTCTTGGTTGGGATTGGGATTTGAATAAAGATCGGGATTGGAATTGGTATCAGGATTTGGATTGGGGCTGGGGTTGGGGTCAGAATTGGGATTAGTGTCTAGGTTGGAATCGGGATTGCAGTTGGTATCAGGCTTGGGATCAAGTCAGGGCTGGCCTGGGATTGGAGCCAGGGTTGGGACTGGGACCAGGATCAGGGTTGGGAGCGGGGTCGGGACCGGGGCAGAGTTTAGGATGGGGCTGAGCAGGGGCTCTCCCCCAGCACCGAGTCCTTCAGCGAGGCGCGGGGCGGGCGCCCGGGGGCGGCGCGGCTGCTGCTGGTGGTGACGGACGGCGAGTCCCACGACGGCGACGAGCTGCCCGCGGCGCTGGCCGAGTGCGACCGGCGCAACGTCACCCGCTACGCCGTCGCCGTGAGACCCCTGCCACCCAGCCCTGCCTTCCCCCGGACCCCCGGGGGGGCTCCTGCTGAGCCCTGTCCCTCCCTCAGGTGCTGGGGCATTACCTGCGGCGGCAGCAGGATCCCGAGGATTTCATCCGGGAGATCAAGACCATCGCCAGCGACCCCGACGAGAAGTATTTCTTCAACGTCACGGACGAGGCTGCCCTCAATGACATCGTGGATGCTCTGGGAGATCGGATCTTCAGCCTGGAAGGTGCTGGTTTGAGGCTGGGGTGGTGGGAAGGGCTGGGGATTCCAGCTGAGGATTCCTCGCCCGCTCAGGCACCCACGGCGACAACGAGAGCGCCTTCGAGCTGGAGATGTCCCAGATCGGCTTTTCCGTCCACCACCTCGAGGTGACCCTGTCCCTGTCGAGTCAGAAATGCCACAGAAGGCTAAATCCACTTTGTTAGGACGCCCGTTTCTTTCTGTGTCCTGGCTCGCTGCTGGAGGACCTGATTGGTCCTTTAATTGGCTAATTAAGAAGCCACCTTTGGTAATCAACGCGCATTAAGGTGATCACAAACACCGTGTGCAGCAAGATAAGAATTGCTCATAATTCTTCCCTCTGAGCTTCTCACAGCCTCGGGAAAGTTCTTTGTTTCCCTCTGTGAGTGTTGTGATAAGGCACGAAATGATGACACAGACACTGCTGCTCTCGAGGGGAACAAAAAAGAAAAACTTTTATTTTCTGACTCCAACATTTATAGTTTTCCAAAGGTGACAGCGGGTTGGAGGGTGACAGTGCCACCTCTCCAATGCCACTGGACAGACCAAGGGTCCATCAATTCTCTCCACCTCCATGAAAGAATGCAAAACATAGGTTATTTACAGAACTGTGCGTGAGAAAGTTTGTTGAAAGAATGCAAACATCAGAAGGCTTAACAAAGTCTTACAAAATCAAGGCGACGCGTGAGCACGCCGGGAAAGGTGGAAAACAACCCTCAGCCCATCTCACCCGTGGCGTGGCGGGGTGACATCGGCGGGGCTGGGGGACGCCGAGCCCCTGCGGTGACGCGTCCCACCCACCCCGGCAGGACGGGATCCTCTTCGGCATGGTCGGAGCCCACGGCTGGGAGGGCGGAGTGCTGCAGGAGCGGCAGCGCGGCCGCGTGGTCCCGGCCCGCGACGCCTTCCAGGAGGAATTCCCGCCGCAGCTGCGGAACCACGCGGCCTACCTGGGTACCCGGGCATCCCTGGGGCCGGGGGGTGGGCCCCCGGGTTTGGGGTGAACCAGGGGTGTCCCCCGGCCGGGAGATCGGGGGTCAACGGGGGTGTGCCGTGGAGTGGGTATTTGGGGGGGATTTGGTGATACAGGAGTGTCCTGGGAATTTGGGGTGCCCTGGGGATGCTCCCTGCGATGGATATTTGGGGGGGGTTTTGGTGATACAGGAATGTCCTGGGAATTTGGGGTGCCCTGGGGACACTCCATACTCCAGGGATGCTCCAAACCCGGATATTTGGGGTGCCCTGGAGATGCTCCCTGCAATGGGTATTTGCGGGGGCTTGGTGATACAGGAATGTCCTGGGAATTTGGGGTGCCCCAGGTTCACTCCAAACCCGGATATTTGGGGTGCCCCAGGTTCACTCCAAGCCCGGATATTTGGGGTGCCCCGGGACCCCCCGTCTCCGCGGGGCTCTGACCCCGCTCTCCCCCCAGGCTACTCGGTGTCCTCGCTGCAGCTCCCGGGGGGGCAGCGCCTCTTGGTGGCCGGTGCCCCCCGATTCCAGCACAAGGGCAAGGTCGTCCTCTTCCAGCTGGACCCCCGGGGGACCGTGACGGTGGCCCAGGCGCTCGTGGGGGACCAGGTGAGGGGTGCTGGGGGGCCTCGAGGGCTTGGGGGAGGGGAGTTTGGGCCCCCCTCAGCCTCACAGCCCCCTGCACCCCCAGATCGGCTCCTACTTCGGCAGCGAGGTGCTGGCCCTGGACCTGGAGGGAGATGGGGACAGTGAGCTGCTGCTGGTGGCAGCGCCCTCCTACCTGGGGGGGCAGAGCTGGGAGACCGGGAGGGTCTACGTGTACCGTGTGGGGCAGGTGAGGGGCAGGGGGTTCTGGGGGTGTNGGGGTTGGGTCTGGGGGCTTGGGGCAGGTAGATTTGGGGCGCACTGGGGCGCGGCACTGTGCGGATCAGCACACCACACAGTCACTGAAGGAATTCCAGGTGCCTCGGGGGTGAACCCAGCGGCACCGCGGGGCTCCCTGTCCCTTGGGGGTCCCGAGGACACCCCCTCCCTCCCTCCCTCCCCTCCCAGGCCCGGCTGAGCCCCGCGGGCTCGCTGCTCCCGGAGCCGCGGCCGCAGGATTGCGGGTTCGGCTCGGCGCTGGGCGCGGTGCCCAACCTGAGCCAGGACGGGCTGGCGGGGGCCGTGGTGGGCGCGCCGCTGGAGGACGGGCACCGAGGGGCGCTCTACGTGTTCCACATCGGCCCCCGCTCGCTGCTGCCCCGCCGCGCGCAGGTGGGGGCTGCGCTGCTGGGCTTGGCTGTGGAGTTCATTTAACTGCAGTTTAAAAGTTCTAGTTGTTTGACTTTATTTTCTTTTATTTTTACGTGATTGCATGTTTTATTTAAGTTTATTTTAAAAGTTTATATTTATTTTATTTTTACTTGATTTCATATTTTAACTTTATTTTAAAAGTTTATATTTACTTGATTTCATATTTTATTGAATTTTATTTTTATAAGTTTATGTTTGTTTTACTCGGTTTTGTTTTTACTTGATTTTATTTTTATTTGATTTCATATTTTATTGACTTTTATTTTTAAAAGTTTATGTTTGTTTTACTTGATTTTATTTTTACTTGATTTCATATTTTATTTAACTTTATTTTAAAAGCTTATATTTATTTTACTTGATTTTATTTTTACTTTTGCTTGATTTTATTTTTACTTGATTTCATATTTTACTTTACTTTTATTTTATTTTTATTTTTCCTTGATTTTATTTTTCCTTGATTTCATATTTTTACTTGATTTCCCATTTTTAAAAATTTTATTTCCCAAATTTATATTTAAAGCATTTATTCTATTTCCTAACTCTGAGCCTCCCCTTGTGCCGCCTCCGGCTCACGAGGGGTTAATTAACCCCGCACAATTGTCGCTCGCAGCGCGTGGGGGCGGCGGCGCTGGGCTGGAGCCTCCGCTACTTCGGGATCAGCGTGGACGGACGGGCGGACATGGACGGGGACGGACTGGTGGACGTGGCCGTGGGGGCTCGGGGGGCGGCCGTGGTGCTGCGGTGAGGGGGGACAGGGAGGGGACGGGGACAGCCCGGGAATGGGGACGGGGACAGCCTGGGAATGGGGACAGGGGAGGGGACGGGGACACCATGGTGACAGGGATGGGGACAGGGACACTCCAGGAATGGGGACAGGGACACCTTGGGAATGGGGACAGGGACAGCCCGGGAATGGGGACGGGGACACCTTGGGGACAGGGGAATGGGGACGGGGATGGGGACGGGGACAAGGGACAGGGACAGCCCGGGATGGGGACAGGGGAGGGGACGGGGACACCTTGGGGACAGGGACAGCCTGGGAATGGGGACAGGGGAGGGGACAGGGATAGCCCGGGAATGGGAATGGGGACAGCCCGGGATGGGGACGGGGACACCTTGGGAATGGGGACAGGGACAGCCCGGGAATGGGAATGGGGACAGCCTGGGGATGGGGACAGGGACACTCCAGGAATGGGGACAGGGACAGCCTGGGAATGGGGACATGGAGAAGGGACAGGGCCACTCCAGGAATGGGGACAGGGAGAAAGGACAGGGACACCCCGGGAATGGGGACAGGGAGAAGGGACAGGGACACCCTGGGAATGGGGATACCCTGGGAATGGGGACACCCCGGGAATGGGGACACCCCGGGAATGGGGACAGGGACACCCTGGAAACAGGGCCATGGACACCCCGGGAACAGTGACATGTGGGCCATGGGGACATTCAGTCGGAGAGCCACTCCGTGCCTCAGTTTCCCCCGGTGAGAGCCCGGGCCGCTCCCGGCAGCCTCGCAGCGCTCTCCGCGCCTCCGCTGCCAGCCGGGCCGGGGTCCCGCTGAGCTGCCCGCTGCGGCCGTGTCCCTCAGGTCCCGCTGGATCCTCCAGGTGGCCGCGGCGGTGTCGGTGGAGCCGGCGGCCATCAGCGTCACCCGGCGGAACTGCCGCCGCGGCGGCTCCGGCGCCGTCTGCCTCCGCGCCCGCCTCTGCTTCCGCGGGCGGAGCCGCGCCCCGAGCGCGCCCCCGGGGCTGGCTGTCGGTGAGTGCGGGCCCGGGGGGCTGCGGGGTCCTGGGAGGGTCCTGCGAGCAGCCCTGGCTGGGTGGGGAGCGCCCCAGAGCATCCCAAAGGGTCCTGGAGCATCCCAGAGCCATCCCTGAGCCATCCCAGAGCATCCCAAAGGGTCCTGGAACATCCTGGAGCATCCCAGAGCCATCCCAAAGGGTCCTGGGAGGGTCCTTGGAGCAGCCCTGGCTGGGTGGGGAGTACCCCAGAGCCATCCCAGAGCATCCCAAAGGGTCCTGGAGCATCCTTGGAGCATTCCAATAGGTTCTGGAGCACCCCAGAGCCATCCCAGAGCATCCCAAAGAGTCCTGGAACATCCCAGAGCACCCCAGAGCATCCCAAAGGGTCCTAGAGTCTTTCTTGGGGTCTCTGAGACTTTTCTGGAGCCTCTGAGACTTTCCTGGGGGTCTCTGAGACTTTCCTGGAGCTTCCCACAACATCCCGGGGTCTCTGAGACTTTCCTGCATCCTCTGAGAATTCCCAGGAGCCTCTGAGGGTTCTCTGGAATCCCGCCGGTGCCTCCCGGAGCGTCCCCGGGGCTTCCCTGGGGTCCCTCCCGCCGGTGTCGGGGCGCTGAGCCGCCCGCTCTCCCGCAGATCTGCGCTACACCGTGTCCCTGGAGGAGCGGGTCCCGGGATCCCGAGCTGCCTTCGAGCCCGGCGCCCGCCGGCTGCTGCAGCGCCGCGCGGAGCTGCGGCTGGGCGGGCAGAGCTGCGCCCGCGTCCCCTTCCACGTCCTGGTGAGCCCCGGGCGGCCCCGGCCCCCTGCGGGGGTCCCAGCGCCGCGGGGCTGACGGGACCCCCCGGCTGTGCAGGACACCTCGGATTACCTGCGGCCCCTGAGCCTCAGCCTCAGCTGGGCGCTGGGGGCGGCCGCCGGCGCGGTGCTGGATGAGGCGGCTCCCACCTCGCTCCGCAAACTGGTGCGTACTGGGATGGGGGGGGGCCGGGGCGCTGGGATCGCCCCCGGGCGCTGGGGTCACACTGGGATCACACTGGGATCGCCCCCGGGCACTGGGATCACACTGGGATCACACTGGGATCGCCCCCGGGCACTGGGATCACACTGGGATCACACTGGGATTGCCCCTGGGCACTGGGATCACCCCCGGGCAGTGGGATCACACTGGGATCACACTGGGATCACCCCTAGGCACTGGGATCACCCCGGGATCACCCCGGGCACTGGGATCACCCCAGGATCACCCCTAGACATTGGGATCACCCCTGGATCACCCCTGGCTCCTTCCAGATCCCGTTTTTCAAGGATTGCGGCGACGACGACGAGTGCGTCACCGACCTGGTGCTCAAGGCCACCACGGACATCGTGGGCTCCAGGTAGCCCTGGTGTCCCCCCCGTGTCCTCAAGGTGTTCCTGGGACCCCAGGAGCCCCCCGTGACCCCCCTGGCCTCCAGGCAGAGCCCCCACATCCTGCGGAAGGGCCGGAGGAGGATGCTGGTGGAGGTGGAGCTGGAGAACCGGCAGGAGAACGCCTACAACGCCAGCCTGTGGCTGCACCTGTCTGAGAACCTCCACTTCTCCAGCCTCGTGCTCCAGGTGCAGCCTGGGGGAGCCCGAATCCCTGAGGAGCTCCTCCAAAGTGTCCCACCAAATCCCTGAGGAGCCCCTCCAAAATGTCCCACCAAATCCCTGATGAGCCCCTCCAAACTGTCCCACCAAATCCCTGAGGAGCCCCTCCAAAGTGTCCCACCAAATCCATGAGGAGCTCCTCCAAAGTGTCCCACCAAATCCCTGAGGATCACCTCCAAAGTGTCCCACCAAATCGATGAGGAGCTCCTCCAAACTCTCCCATCAAATTCCTGAGGAGTCCCTCCAAACTCTCCACCCAGGTCTTTGGAGAACCTCTGGGTCATTCTTGTCCCAGCCCATTGCAGGTGGGATGGGTTGGAGTCTGTTGGGTCCCCAAACCCATTTCAGGGGGGACAGGGGTTCCACAATGTCCCCAACCTCTCCCAGGTGGCAGCTGGGGGTCCATGGTGTCCCCAACCTATTCATGTGGGATATGGGGCTTCTCGGTGTCCCCAACTCCTCCCAGGTGGGAACTGGGGCTCCACGGTGTCCCCAACTCCTCCCAGCTGGCAGATCATGTTCTCTTGGTCCCCTGTGGCCCCCTCGGGGTCCATTGCTGCCACCTCCCCGTGTCCCAAGCCCCCCGTCTCCATGTCCCCGTGGTGTCCCCTGGCAGGAGCCCAGCTCGGTGAAGTTGGAGTGCTCAGCCCTGGGGGGGCACCGCTGGCGCTGCAGTGTGGGGTACCCCGTCTTCCGCTCGCAGGCCAAGGTAGGACCCCCCAGAGACCCCCAGGGAACCTCCACTTCTCCAGCCTTGTGCTCCAGGCACGGCCTGGGGGGAGCCCAAATCCCTGAGGAGCGCCTCCAAACTCTCCACCAAATCCCTGAGGAGATCCTCCAAAGTGTCCCACCAAATCCCTGAGCAGCCTCTTGAAACTCTCCACCAAATCCATGAGGAACCCCTCCCAACTGTCCCACCAAATCCCTGAGAAGCTCCTGTAAACTCTCCACCAAACACATGAGGAACTCCTCCAAAATATCCCACCAAATCCCTGAAGAGCTCCTCCAAACTGTCCCACCAAACCCATGAGGAACCCCTCCCTACTGTCCCACCCAGTCCCTGAGGAGCCCCTCCCAAGTGTCCCACCCAGTCCCTGAGGAGGGTCCCCGTCCCCCAAAGCCCCTCGGGCCCCCCCAAACCCCCCCCACCCCCAGGTGTCCCTCACGCTGGAGCTGGAGTTCAGCTGCTCCGTCCTGCTGGACCTGGCCGAGGTCACGCTCAGGGCCACCAGGTAGGGGGTGTGGCTGAGCCCTGGGGGGCGGGGCTGCAATTTGGGGACCCTCCTGATTGTCCCCCCCGCCCCTCCCACCTTCCCCATCCAGTGACAGCACCGAGGTGACACCGCAGGACAACGTGGTCAAGCTGTCTGTCCCCATCCGCTACGAGGCCAACCTGTTCCTGTCCAGGTGGGGCTGGGGGCGTCGGGGGGGGGGGGGGGGGTCAGGGAAGGGGATGGGGCCCCCCCCCCCGTGTGTCCCCCCAGAGTGGGGGGTCAGGGAGGGGTGGGATACACCATGAGGGGCGTGACCCCCCCCGTGTGCCCCCCCCAAAAAACACCGACCTGCAAAGTGGGGGGGTCAGGGAAGGGGGACAACCACGAGGGGCGTGACCCCCCCTGTGTGCCCCCCCCAGAATGAGGATGTCACAAAAGGGGATGTGACCCTCCTGTGTACACCCCCAAAAAAACCCACCGACCTGCAGAGTGGGGGGGTCACAGAGGGGGGGTCAGGGAGTGGGGGGGTGACACCCCCACCATGGACGTGACCCCCCCGTGTCCCCCCCACCCAGCACCACCAACCTGCCCCGCTACGAGCTTCACCCCCCGGGCACGTTCACCGCCAGCCCCGGCCCCGAGTTCAGCACCACGGTCAAGGTGAGCCATGAGGCGGGGAGGGGGGGGGTGACACCCCCACCATGGACGTGCCCCCCCCGTGTCCCCCCCACCCAGCACCACCAACCTGCCCCGCTACGAGCTTCACCCCCCGGGCACGTTCACCGCCAGCCCCGGCCCCGAGTTCAGCACCACGGTCAAGGTGAGCCATGAGGAAGATGATGATGATGATGATGATGATGATGATGATGATGATGATGATGGGGGGGCCCTGCCTCACCGCGCCCCCCCCCCAATCACATCCAGGTGCAGAATTTGGGGTGCTACCCCCTCCAGAACGTCACCCTGCACATGGCCCTGCCAGCACTCGGCCAGCACGGCGCCACCATGCTGTCTGTCACCGAGCTCCTGCCTGGAAACGTGAGAATTGGGGACACCTGGGGGGTCCTCGGGGTGGGGAGGGGTCCCCGTGCCCTCTGAGCCCCCCCTGTGCCCCCCCCCAGGCCACCTGCAGGCTGCACCCCCCCGATGGAGGCACCCCGGTGGTCGCGGTGCCCCCCGAGGATCTGCTGCACACCGAGAGGCTGGTAGGGCTGGCTGTGCCCCCCACCGGGGTTTGGGGGGGTCCCCAAAACTCCGGGGGGGTTCAGGGGGGTCCCCAACATTCCAGAGGATTTGGGGGGTTCAGGGATTTGGGGGGTCCGGGGATTTGGGGGTCCGGGGTCCCCACACTCCAGCGGATTTGGGGGTCCGGGTCCCCGCCCCTCGCCCCCCAGGACTGCTCCAGCAGCCGCTGCCAGGAGCTGCGCTGCCGCCTGGGCCCGCTGCAGCGCGGCGCGGCGCTCTCCGTGCGGCTCCGGCGCAGCCTCCACCTGCGGTTCTTCAGCGCGGTGAGCGGGGCCGGGGCGGGACACGCCAGAGAGGGGAAAATGGGGAAAAGTAAACTAAAATTAAAATAGAGAAGGTAAATGGAAAGGGAATAAATAGAATTAAAGGAATAGAAATGTAATATAATATAAATATAAAGAAATAAAATTAAAATAAATAAAATAAATAAATAAAAATATAATATAAATATAAATATAAATAAATAAATAAAATAAAAATAAATATTAATATAATATAAATATAAATATATAAAATAAAAATAAATGTAAATAAAATAAATATAAAAATAAATAAATTTAAAAAATAAAATAAAAATAAATATTAATATAATATAAATATAAATATATAAAATAAAAATAAATGTAAATAAAATAAATATAAAAATAAATAAATTTAAAAAATAAAATAAAAATAAATATTAATATAATATAAATATAAATATATAAAATAAAAATAGTATATTTATTATATTGTATTTTTATTTTATTATTTCATTTAATTTTACTATTATTATGTTTCATTTTATTATTTTTATTTAACTTTACTATTTTCTTATTTCACTTTATTATTATTTAATTTACTCTCATTAACATTTCATTTCATTTTATCATTATTTCATTTAACTTTATTATCATTTTATTTCACTTTATTATTATTTAATTTACTCTCATTAACATTTTATTTCATTTCATCATTATTTCATGTAACTTTATTATCATTTCACCTACTCATTATTTAATTTACCCTCATTAACATTTATTCCGTGTCTGATTCCGCCCGTGCTTTGTTCTTCCCCCCCAGGTGAAATTCCGGAGCCTGCGGATCGTGGGCAGCGTCTGCCTGGGGGTCGGGGGGGGGCTGCTGGTGCTGGAGGAGGGGGCTCAGTGCAGGGAGGTAGGACCCCCCCGGTGCCCCACTTCCCCCTCATCCTGGTCCCCCTCCCCAAATTCCCTGTCCCCCTCCCCAAATTCCCTGTTTCCCTCCCCAAATTCCCTGTTTCCCTCCCCAAATTCCCTGTTTCCAAATATCCATTTCCCCCCCCCCAAATCCCCGTTTTTCCCCCCGAATTCCCATTTTTCCCGGCCCCAGCTGGTGCTGGAGGTGCTGCGGGGCCGCCGCGTGCCCGTGTCCCTCTGGATCCTGGGGGGCAGCGCCCTGGGGGGGCTCCTGCTGCTGGCCCTGCTCAGCCTCGGCCTCTGGAGGGTGAGGGGACACCGGGGGGACACCGGGGGGACACCGAGCGGGGGCACAGGGGCATCCTGGGGTGACACCCAGGGGGTCATGCTGGCACCTTGGGGTGACACCAAGGGGGGGGGCACAGTGACACCCTGGGGTGACACTGAGGGGTGACACTGAGTGGGGCCATGGTGGCATTGAGGGCGGGGAGGCACGGTGACACCAAGGTGGGGCACAGTGGCCCCTTGGGGTGACAATGAGGGGTGACAATGAGGGGTGACACTGCATGGGGGCACGGTGGCACCTTGGGGTGACAATGAGGGGTGACACCGAGGGGCGGCATGGTGGCATTGAGGGGTGACAGTGAGGGACAGGGGGACACGGTGACACTGAGGCGGGGCACAGTGGCACCTGGGGGTGACAATGAGGGGTGACACCGAGGGGCGGCATGGTGGCATTGAGGGGTGACAGTGAGGGACAGGGGGACACGGTGACACTGAGGTGGGGCACAGTGGCACCTTGGGGTGACAATGAGGGGAGGGGGCACGGTGTCACCTTGGGAGGGTGACAGCGTCACTTGGAGAGGGTCACAAGGTCACCTGGGGCAGCTATGGGGGTGGGGCACGATGTCACCTTGGGGAGGGTGACAGTGTCACCTTGGGGTGGCCACGTTGTCACCCTGGGGAGGGCTGGGTCCATCCCCCATCCCCCATTTCCCATTTCCCATCCCCCAGCTGGGATTCTTCTCCCACCCAAAACCCCCCCGGGAGGAGGAGGAGGATGAGGATGAGGACGAAGAGCACTGAGGTGACAGCTCTGCTGGTGGCAGGAGGACACCCAGGAACGTCCCCCTGGGTCACATCCCGGCGTTTGGGACGGGTGGAGGGACGAGGAGGAGCCCCCCCACCCCGAGGATGGAGCGGGGGAACATCTGGAACATCTGGAAGTGGGAAAAGTGGGAATGCCCTGGAATGGAGCAGCTGCAGCAATAAAGCTCCAGCCTGGGGAACTGCTGATGGGCTGGGAGAGGAAATTCCTTCATCCGGGGGGGAAAAAAACTCAGGAATGATCCCAGATGTGACACAGAGGGATGGGGAGAGCCAAATCTCAAATCCGGGTCAAATCCGGGATTTTGAGGATCAGGAATCTTGGAATTCCCGATTTCCAGCAGGAGGTGGAAGAGGGAAGAAGTGGGAGCAGGAGGTGAGTGGGGAAAGAAGTGGAAGAAGGGGAATTTCTGAGCCTCTCCAGAAATCCCCATCATCGGGGAGCTGGATAGGAGAGGGAAGCACCGGGATGAATTTATAAACCCAGCTGGATTTTCCCAATCTTTGCAGATCCACAGTCCTGCCCTGGGATTGGGGTGTCCCTGTGTCCCAGGGAGGACAGGGACAAAGTGTCCCAGCACAGCAGGAGGCCTTTGGCTCTCCTCCCTTGGGGACAAACAGAGCAAATCGGGGTTTCCTTCCCAAAAAAAGCTTTTCCTGGGCTCATTTGTGCCCCCCACCCTCCCCAAGCTCCTGCTCCCCTTTCCCAGCTCCAAGGATGACCTGGGAATGGGAATTCCTTGAGAAAGGCCTTTATTGGACGGAAGAGCAAAGAAAACCAGGAATGAAATCCACGTGGGTGCGGAACCACGGAGCCCAAGGGGTTTGGGAGCGTGGGGTGGGGGTCACAGTGTCCCCCCCACTTTAGGGCAGCCAGTGGATACCACGAGGATGAGGAAAACTCCCAGGATTCAGACCTGGAAAAGTCACATGAAACGGGAAAAAAAAACCCAAAAAAAAAAAAAACCAAACCAAACCTCTCAAAACAACCAAATAATGAGGAAAAATAAAGAGTTTCCTTAAGTTAAAGGGGAGGGCGGGGGGATTCCCAAGGGAGTGGTCCATAATTCCTGCCTGGAATGACTCGTGGGGGGCAGAGGGGGGGTTTGGACACACCTGGGGCCACAGGCAACGTGGAAAAGGGTCAGAAAAAAACCCCAATCAAGCCCAAAAATAGTCCAGGACGAGACAAAACCCTGCTCAGAGCATTCCTGACCCCACAGCGTTCCCAGAGCCTTTCCAGGACCACGGCGGCTCCTGAGGGTCCAACCCCCCCAAGGAAGGGCTCCAGAACCTTCCTTCTTCCACCTGCCATGATTTTATAGACCCCCAAGGATTCCATCCCAAAATGGGGCAATAAAATCTCTCGTGGCTACAATTCCAACCTCCTGGAGTGCAGGAAGATCCCAAAAATCCCCTTTTTATCCCAACCTTTTTTCCAGAGAAGGCTACGAGGAGACTTGGAACCCCTCTTTGGATCAGGCCCCTACTGGAAAAAAAAAACCAAAAAAACAACCAAAAACCTTTCCTGATACAAAAAATGAAATCCAAATCACTCCCAAAAATTCCCAATTTAGGGCTAACGAGGCAATTCCATGGAGCAGAAGGATAAATTCCTGGGAGAAGAGCGCTCGGTGCTGCAATCCCACAGGGTGGGCCCCCTAATTCCTGCTACTCGGGGGGGTTTGTTGGAATTCTCAATGTACACCTCGAGCTGGGATGCCTCTGGAAGCTTCTGGAAGGTTCCAGGACTTTTTCAGAAAGGTCAGAAAGTCCATCTCTCCTGCACTGGGCTGTCGGAAGAGTCGGGATTTGGGATTTGCCTGCTGGAATCTTCCCCCTTGAGGCTCTTCCTGCAGACCGGACACGTGTCGTGCTGTGGGGAGCAACACAAAGCTGTTGTTATCCTGGGGGATTTTACCCCAAATTTCAAATTTTCTGTGCTGAAAGGCACCGACCCAAAGGGAAATGTTACATTCGAGCTGAAGGCGTGGAGGAAAATCCCAAAATTTTTTGGTACTGCTAAAGATCAAGGTAGAAAAATTCGAGTTTGAGGTTTTAGAATGCAGTAATATTTATAAGGCAAAACAGGAATTTTAGGACAGTTAGTTTAGTTTTAGGAAGTTTTTCACTTTCTTCTTCATGAGTTTGAGTAGTTAGAAATAATTAATTAGAAAGGAATAATTAATTAGAAAAGTTGGCATTGCGGGCTTGGGGTGATCAGTTATTAGGTTAAAAATAAAAATAATTCCAGTGTCAATTCTTAATTGGACAGTTCAGCCTTAAACAGACCTTAAAGAGAAAATTAATTAGGGTATCTTGCTAATTGAATACTGCAGAACCCATCATACAATACACGCAATACATTATATTGTATATATACAACACAGATAAGAACTAATCAACATTTGAGCCCAAAATTCCACCTCTAACAAAAAAAGAAAAGATAAAACCGTGGGGATAGATGATTTTTTTTTATTTTTGGGGTCTTACCAGCTCCAGCCAGGGCACGATGCAGCTGCTGTGGAAGACGTGGTTGCAGGGCAGCTGCCGGACCTGCTCCGCCACGGTGTAATCCTCCTTGCACACCGGGCATTCCAGCCCCGTGTCTGTGGAAAATTGGGAATCAGGACCAGGAAAAATGGCTCTGGGAGTCGGGAGTGGCTTTGGGGGGCTGCTCACAGTGGGGTGTGGGGGGAACAGAGGGATCCCAGCAGGAACGGGAGTTCTGGGGTTTATGGGGCATGAAGGGATCAAGGAATTCCTGCCTGGGATCAAGGAATTCCTGCCTGGGATCAAGGAATTCCTGCCAGGATCCATCCAAAATCCTCTGGGAACATGAACTCCTCCAGGGATCAAGGAATTCCTGCCTGGGATCAAGGAATTCCTGCCAGGAGCCATCCAAAATCCTCTGGGAACATGAGCTCATCCAGGGATCAAGGAATTCTGAGCTCCTTTGGTGATCCCAGGGATCCTTGGATATTCCAAAATTTCCTGATGTCTGGCCTGCTCCGTGGGCTCAGCCACGTGGAATTCCAGCTGGTCCTTGGCTTCCCAGAAAAGAGGAGAGAAGGGTGTGGAAAACCACGGGATAAAAATATCCTGGGTAGAATTGTCTGGTTTAACCATAATGGAGGAGTAGGTTCCGGGAGGGGGAGGGATCCTGGGGGTGAAAAATTCAGGGAATTTTTAATTGCAAAGCCAGGATTGCTCTGAGACACCCCCAGGCCCCTGCTGGCAGATTTCCATGACAATTCCAGAGCAGAGGGTGTGGAGAGTTAGTTTGAAAGGGAGGAAGGGATTGGGAGCACAAAGAGGGATTTGGGATGGGAAAATCATCATGGGGAGGGGGAAATCATCATGGGGAGGGGGAAAAACATAATGGAGAGGGGAAAATCATTATAAGGAGGGGAAATCATCATGGGGAGGGGGAAATCATCATGGGGAGGGGAAAAAAATCATCATGGGGAGGGGAAAATCATCTTGGGGAGAGGAAAATGATCTTGGGGAGGGGGAAATCCTCATGGGGAGGGGAAGAGTCAGAACAGCATTTTCGGACTCCCCAAACACTCTGGAGAATGCTGCAGCTCCAAAACTCCCGGGAGAACTGAGCCCCAGAGCTGGCAGCAGCAAAGCTGGGGGAGCTGACAGCTTCCAGCCCAATGGCAGGGGGCAAAAGTGGAAAGGGGGGGCACAAAGTGGGAAGGGGGGGCACAAAGTGGGAAGGGGGGGCTCAGGGTGTCACAGAGGGATCTCAGGGTGTCACAGAGGGAGGTCAGGGTGTCACAGAGGGTCAGGGTGTCACAGAGGGTCAGGGTGTCAGAGGGATATCAGGGTGTCACAGAGGGAGCTTAGGGTGTCACAGAGGGATCTCAGGGTGTCACAGAGGGATCTCTGGGTGCCCAAGAGCGATCCCAGGGTGCCAAGCCTGGCCCCAGGTGCCCCCGGTCTGGGGGGACGGAGCACCCACCGACTTGCTCCTGCGTCACCGGCACCGTGGGCAGCGACGAGATCCTCTCCCTGTCAGCCGGCGGCGGCCCCGTGTTCTCCAGCTGCCCCAGGAGCTGCGCGGGGGGAGACGCCGTGCTCAGGAGCAGGGCCGCCCCCCGCGCCGCCCCCCGCCGCCGGCGCCCCTCACCTGCGTCACGATGGCGTCCAGGCCGCTCTGTCCCCACGCGTAATCGCCGGGGCTGGAGTGCAGCATGCCGCTCCTGCCGAGGGGGAGAGGCCACAAGTTGCCCAAATAATTCCCAAATTCCCCCAGCAGGAGCAGCTGGCTGGTGTCTCTGTCTCTATGGGTGCCTCCCAGTGAACCCCGGCCAGCCCCGGGTCGGCAAACAGCGGGGGGCACCCAGAGAGACAGAGACAGTTTGGCGCCCCACATTGGGCGCCAATTGTCTCCATCTCTCTGGGTGCCTCCCAGTGAACCCCGGCCAGCCCCGGGTCGGCAAACAGCGGGGGGCACCCAGAGAGACGGAGACAGTTTGGCGCCCCACGTTGGGCGCCAATTGTCTCCATCTCTCTGGGTGCCTCCCAGTGAACCCCGGCCAGCCCCGGGTCGGCAGACAACGGGGGCACAGCCCCAAAGTGACCGACAGCGGGGGGGACACTCTCTGGTGCCCCGAGGGTACTGAGGGCAGCTGGCACAGCCCCAAAGTGACCGACAGCGGGGGGACACTCTCTGGTGCCCCGAGGGCACTGAGGGCAGCTGGGCTGGTCACCTTTGCAGCAGAAGAGACACTGGAGACATCAGTGGAGACATCAGTGACTCTGAACAGGGGGCCAGTCCAAGGGTATTCCAAAGTATTCCAAAGTGTAAAAGCACGCTGCAACAGGCTGGGACGTGCTGCTGGCATCACTCACCAGGAGAAGGGGTGCTGCGAGCCGGGAACCGCCGAGTTGGCGAAAAAGCCGGCGAAGATCTGCTGGATTATCCTGAGGAATGAGGGCAGGGAAAAGATGGGAAGGAGGAGTTAAGGAGGGAAAAAAAAAAGGGAAAAAAAGCAGGAATTGCTGCTCTGTGGATGCCTGGCTGGACGGCTCATGGCTGTGAAAATCCCTGGGCAAAGCTCCAAAGCACAGAGGGACAGCAGGCCTTGGACACTGCCCTTTCCTGATCCAGGGATGGGAACTGAGGGGTTTTAAAAAAAAATAAAAGTTTTTCAAAAACTTTTATTCTATTTTCAGTCTCGTGTGAAGGGCGAGGCAATACAGGTGTGACAATTCACACCATCATGGTCAGAAGCAAACTATTTCTAATTTCTAAATTTATTTCTAATTTCTAAATTTACCTCTAATTTCTAAATTTATTTCTAATTTCTAAAATAATTTCTAATTTCTAAACTTACTTCTAATTTCTAAAGTTATTTCTAATTTCTAAGCTTACTTCTAATTGCTAAATTTCCTTCTAATTTCGAAACTCATTTCTAATTTCTAAGCTTACTTCTAATTTCTAAACTCATTTCTAATTTTGAAACTCATTTCTAATTTTGAAACTGATTTCTAATTCCTAAATTCATTTCTAATTTCTAGACTCATTTCTAATTTCTAAACTCATTTCTAATTTCTAGACTCATTTCTAATTTCTAAGCTTACTTCTAATTTCTAAACTCATTTCTAATTTCTAGACTCATTTCTGATTTCTAAGCCCACCTCTAATTCCTAACTCCATTTCCAATCCCGCTCCTCTCTCAACAACCTCCACCCCCCAAATTCCGTGTTTTTCCCCCAAGCCCCCCGCCCAGCAGCCGCACTCACCCCTCGATGGCGGGCGAGCGCTCGGGCCGGGCGCTGCCGCGGGCGCGGTACCTGCGGGGCAGGGCCAGCCGCGGGGGGCGGCCGGGACCCCAGAGCTCGGCCGGGGGCCCCCGCTCCGCCTCCCGGCCCTCGGCGTCCAGGAAGGGCCGCAGGTCCGGGAAGAACATGGCGTGGTCCAGGTGGTCCCAGAGCTGCGGAGAGTTTAGCTTTGGGGTGATTAGCCGGCGTTAATTTGTCTCTGCCGGGTTGATTGATGAAATTCCATTATCCCGCCGGGAGGTGCTCCGCCCAGGGGGAGGAGCCAAGCGTTCCTACCTGGATACAATCTGGGGGTTTGGGATAACAGGGCAGCCTTCTCCTAAAGGAGCAGCTTTGTTTTCCCCTGGAATCCCAGAGGATCAGGTTTTTACAACTGGAATTCCAGAGGATCAGCCCTTTCCCCACTGTATTCCCAGAGTATCAGCTTCTTCCCACTGGATTCCCAGCCCTTTTCCACTGGAATTCCAGAGGATCAGCCCTTTCCCCCTGGATTCCCAGAGGATCAGCTTTTTCCCACTGCATTCCCAGAGGATCAGCCCTTTCCCCACTGAAATTCCAGAGGATCAGCCCTTTTCCCACTGCATTCCCAGAGGATCAGCCCTTTCCCACTGGAATTCCCAGAGGATCAGCCCTTTTCCCCTGGAATTCCAGAGGATCAGCCCTTTTCCCACTGCATTCCCAGAGGATCAGCCCTTTCCCACTGGAATTCCAGAGGATCAGCTTTTTTCCCACTGCATTCCCAGAGGATCAGCTTTTTCCCACTGCATTCCCAGAGGATCAGCTTTTTCCCACTGGATTCCCAGCCCTTTCCCACTGGATCTCCCTGAAATCAGGAGTTTCTGGGATACAAAGTGATCTCCAAGCAATATTTTGGAGAAATGGATGCAGCCTGGAATTCTGACTGTTTGGTGACCCCATTCCTGGCTCAGGATTTCCTACAAATTTAGACTTTAAAATTGAAAGATTCTGGAAAATCTGGGAGCAGGGAGAGACTCCACACCTGGCTGAGCACCCCCAAACAAATCCCAGGATCTGCCAGCACCAGGGCAAGGCTCTTCCCCGAATCCTCCTTTTCCCCTCGTGCCCAAATGCCAATTTGGGGGAGAAAAACTCCCCCAGATCCTGGAAATCCTCGGGAAAAGGAGCTGCTGGGGAAAAGAGGGAAAAAGCAGGAAAACTCACCTCTGAGAACTGGGAGGAGGGGCTATCGTCCAGGGAATTGCTGTCAAAAAAACTGGGAAAAAAGAGGAGAGAGAGTGATTAAAATCCCCCCTGTGTTTGCTGAAATATTCCCAGGAGGGGTAAAAAAATAGAGAAAAGGGTAAAAAAAATAAATAGTAAAAGCTTTGGTTTTTTTTCCTTCCCTAAATATTAAAAAGGGTAAGAAAAAAATTAAAAAGGGGAAAAAATAGACTAAAAATGTTTAAAAAAATGGCAAATACAAAAAAAATAATTTAAAGGGATGTTATTTTCCCATAAATTTTAAAAACATTAAGAAAAATATCAAAAAGGGGGGAAAAAAGTCCAAAATAGTTTAAAAAAAAGGGTAAGGACCAAAAATAATGAAAAGGGATTTTTTTAAAATACTAAAAATACTAATAATTTTATTTTCTTTAGGAAAAAAAAAACAACTTTTTTATTCCTAAATATTAAAAATGGTAAGAAAAAAATCAAAAAGAGAAAAAAAAAGACCAAAAATGATAAAAATATCAAGAAGACCAAAAAAGGTTTTTTTGTTTGTTGTTGTTGTTGTTTTTTATTTTTTTTTAAGAAAAAAGGGGAAAAATACATGAAGAAAAGAGCAAAAATGGCATTTTTCACACTGAATCTCCTGGTTATAAATTGAATATCCCTGGGTTTTCTGGTACCTGGAATCATCAGTGACTTCCTCAATGAAGCCAGACTCACAGCGAGGGCAGGTGTATTCCTGGGAAGACAAAAAGAGTGGAAATGAAACCCAAAATCTTGGAAATTCTGAAGGAAAATCTCCTCCTTCAGGAAGATTCCTGGTCTGAGATGCCGTGGAGCTCAAAACAACAGCAAAAAACCTGAAAAAAAATCTGAAAATCCCCTGGAATTTTGGGCAGCAGAGAGGAAAATGGAACTGCAGAGGCCAGGAACAAAATCCCTTCCAAGAAAAAAAAATTTTCCCTGTTCCCATTCCCAGAGTTTTATCCCAGACTGAATTAAAAAAAAAACAAACCCAAAAAAAGATTCTCATGGATCTTCCCTCTCCACATCCCAGGAACTGGGAGCATCCAAGATTTTTTATTGGAATATTCCAAATTTCCAGCGTGGATTTTGTGGGAATTCCTCCCAAATCCAAACCCTGGAGCAGACTTTTGAATTTTTGGATCAATTTTTTTGGGTTGGATCAAATTTTACCACCACCAGCAGCAGGTGGGATGCTGATGCAGCCCTGGAAGCTTTGGAATATTTTTATTTTTGGACTATTTTTGCTGTTGGGAGTCCATATGGAAAGTCTCAGCTTGCCACCCAGTAGCTGGAGAGAGATAAAAATGGAATTTGGGATAAATAACTCTGCAGGGAGGGAAAAGGGAAAGGGGAACAGATGGTGGGTGGGATCCTGCAGATTCCCTGGATTTTCCCTGGGACAATTCCCCAGATTTTCCCTGAGATATTTCCAGGGATTATTCCCAGGAATTGGGATAATTCCCTTGATTTTCCTTGGGATATTTCCCTGGATTATTCTTTTTTCCCTGGGATAATTCCCTGGATCTTCTCTGGGATATTTCCCTGGATTTTCCCTGGGATATTCCCAGGAACTGGGATAATTCCCTGGATTTTCCCTGGGATAATTCCCTGGGTTTTCCCTGGGATAATTCCCTGGGTTTTCCCTGGGATAATTCCCTGGGTTTTCCCTGGGATATTCCCAGGAACTGGGATAATTCCTGGGATAATTCAGCAGCAATGGACAATCCCCTCTCTGCCGGCCGAGCAGACGCTGCTCACGGAGCGGGATGGGAGCGGAACGAGGTTTATGGAATGATGCGCTTCCATCAGGAACAGGACATTCCTCAGGTCCCTTTCCAGACTTGGGGGGGATCTCCCTTTCCGTGTGGGAACAACTTCGGGGGCTGGAGGTCACCCCTCCCTCAGGGGCTCAGGGAGCCATTGAGGGATCACCCCTACACCCGCCCCGGCAGGTCGGGGCTCTCCCCCCGGCCCTCCCCGCTCGGGGCTCCCCCTCTCCGACCCTCCCTTCCCGGGGCTCACCGGCAGCTTGGGGCTGACCTCGCCCTTGCAGCTGTGGCAAAAGAACCGGTGCTGCTGCACCGCCGCCGCCGCCTCCGCCATCTTCCCTCACAGCCGCCGCTGCCGTCACTCCTCCCAGAGCAGCGAGCGCGGCCCAGAGCGACCCCGCGCTTCCGGCGAACTCGTCTGCTCCTCCCCCAGCCTGCAAAGCGCGGGTGAGCGGGATAGAGCGGCCCCAGCGGGGCGGGCCGCGGCGTGGCACCCCCTGGTGGGAGCCTCCCATTGGGAGCCTAGCAAGGCCGGGTGGCGGCAGCGGAAGTGACGTAACAGGAAGTGGAGGCAGCACGGGGCCGTTGTCATGGCGGCGGCGGCTTAGGCCGGGCCTGGTGGTGAGAGCGGAGGGGGCACCGGGACGGGGGAACAACCCAGCGGGGGGAATACGGGGACCGCTGGGACAGGGCTCCAGGACCTCTGCAGCACGGTCAGCCGCTGTCCCATCTCTCTCTCTCCATGCAGCTGTTCGCTCTTTCCTTCCTCCCGCTCGTTCCTGGGCTTCCGGAGCCGCCGGGATGACCCAGGCGGAGCTCCGGCTCTGCTCCCTCCTGCTGCAGGAGCATTTCGGGGAAATTGTGGAAAAAGTGGGGAATTCTCTGCTCCGGACGGGGCCGCGGCCGCTGCGGCTCCTGGTGGGGGACACGGGGCTGCTCCCGGATCAGGTAAGGGGTGGGAGGGAAGCCTGGACGAGGGGGTTTTAATATGGAAACAACCTCATGTTGCTTGAAATTAATAGGAAATTATTGGAAGTGGAATTTAAAATCCATTCATGTGGATTTTAAATTAATTTGAAATTAATATGGGGCTATTCCCATTAAAAGGGTCAGGGTAATTCCCATTATTCTCATTAAAAGGGATGGGTTTATTCCCTTTAAAAGGAATGGCGTTATTCCCATTATTCCTATTAAAAGGCACAGGTTTATTCCCATTAGAAGGGACTGGGTTATTGCCATTATAAACATAATGGGTTAGGGTAATTGCCATTAAAAGGGCTGGGGTAATTGCCATTAAAAGGGCCGGGGTAATTCCCATAATTCCCATTAAAAGGGCCGGGGTAATTCCCATAATTCCCATGAAAAGGACCGGGGTAATTCCCATAATTCCCATGAAAAGGCCGGGGTAATTCCCATGAAGAGGCCGGGGTTATTCCCATGAAAAGGCCCAGGGTAATTCCCATAATTCCCATGAAAAGGCCGGGGTAATTCCCATGAAGAGGCCGGGGTTATTCCCATGAAAAGGCCCAGGGGAATTCCCATAATTCCCATGAAAAGGCCGGGGTAATTCCCATAATTCCCATGAAGAGGCCCAGGGTAGTTCCCATTACCCCCTTCCAAACGGACGGGTTAATTCCCATTATTCCCATTAACAGCCATGGGGTAATTCCCATGAAAAGGCCCAGGGTAATTCCCTTAATTCCCATGAAAAGGGCTGGGGTAATTCCCATGAAAAGGCCCAGGGGAATTCCCTTAATTCCCATGAAACGGGCTGGGGTAATTCCCATGAAAAGGCCCAGGGGAATTCCCTTAATTCCCATGAAACGGGCTGGGGTAATTCCCATGAAAAGGCCCAGGGGAATTCCCTTAATTCCCATGAAACGGGCTGGGGTAATTCCCATGAAAAGGCCCAGGGGAATTCCCTTAATTCCCATGAAACGGGCTGGGGTAATTCCCATGAAAAGGCCGGGGTTATTCCCATTAACAGCCATGGGGTCATTCCCATGAAGAGGCCCAGGGTAGTTCCCATTACCCCCTTCCAAACGGACGGGTCAGTTCCCATTATTCCCATTAACAGCCACAGGGTAATTCCCATGAAAAGGCCGGGGTAATTCCCATAATTCCCATGAAAAGGCCGGGGTTATTCCCATTAACAGCCATGGGGTTATTCCCATGAAGAGGCCCAGGGTAGTTCCCATTACCCCCTTCCAAACGGACGGGTCCGTTCCCCCTCCTCCCGTTAACCGCCCCAGGGCCGCTCCCAGCACGCGCCCCGCTGCACTCCATTTCCGATTTCCCTCCCCCAGGTGAAGAAGGCGCTGTGCGTGCTGATCCAGCACGGCCTGGCGCGCTACGAGGCGCAGCCGCGCGGCCCCGTGGAGTACGAGGCGCGGCGCCGGCGCGTGCTGCGCCTGCTGCGCTACCCCCGCTACATCTACACCGCCAAGGCGCTCTACGGCGACCCCGGCGAGCTGCTGGTGGAGGAGCTGCTGCTGCACGGGCAGCTGCCCATGAGCTCTGCCGTGGCCAGGGTGGCCGACCGCCTCACCGAGACCATGGAAGGTGGGAAGGAAGCCCAAAAAAATGGGATCTGGGAGTGGTGGATGGTGGATGGGATCAGAGGTACCATAGGGTGATCTATGGGGAGCTGCTGGTGGTCCATGAGCATCTTCCCGTGAGCTGTGCAGTGGCCAGGGTGGCCGACTGCCTCACCGAGACCATGGAAGGTGGGAAGGAAACCCAAAAAAATGGGATCTGGGAGTGGTGGATGGGATCAGAGGTACCATAGGGTGTTCTTTGGGCACCCAGAGGAGCTGTTGTGGTCCTTGGGTACCTTCCCATGAGCTCTGCCGTGGCCAGGGTGGCGGATCGCCTCACTGAGACCATGGAAGGTGGGAAGGAAGCTCAAAAAAATGGGATTTAGGAATGGTGGATGGGATCAGAGGTACCATAGGGTGTCCTTTGGGGAGCTGTTGTGGTCCTTGGGCAGCTTCCCAAGAGCTGTGCAGTGGCCACTGAGACCTCACTGAGACCATGGAAGGTGGGAAGGAAACCCAAAAAAATGGGATCTGGGAGTGGTGGACGGGACCAGAGGCACTGTAGGGTGTTGACAGCCCGGCTGCAGTGGTGGCCGTGGTGTCACCGTGTTCTCCTGAGCCTCAGGAACATCCGGGATCTGCTGATGGAGAGCACGGAGGGTTGGAAGCTCCTAAAAACCAGGGATTGATTTGCGTTTGGGACTGTGATCCCCAAGGCTCTGTGGGGTCCTCCAAAGCCCCAGGCCCATCCCAGACCCCCCCGCCGTGTCTCTCCTCCCACCCAGACGGCAAAAGCATGGACTACGCGGAGGTGTCCAACACCTTTGTGCGCCTGGCCGACACCCACTTCATCCAGAGGTGCCCCACGGCCCCGGAAGCGCCCCGGAACGCCGAGGCGCCGGCCCTGATCGCTGCCCAGGAGCCGTACGCGGTGCCTCGGGTGTGCCTCGGCGGTGAGAGCCCAAATCCTGGCAAATCCTGGCAAATCCTGGCGGGGTGGGAAGGGCGGAGCTCGGGGAGCTGCCTGCGGGGGTTAACAGGAGGTGCTGATGTGTGTCATGTATGAATTCGATTTTAAATTAAAAAATTATTGTAGAATTGTATTGTAAAATGATTCTTCAGTTGTTTAAAAAGTAGAATTTAATTTGGGTAATTGCTAGGATGAAGTAGAAGGTGTTGATTTGTGCTATGTATGAATTAAATTTTAAATTTAAAAAATTATTGTAGAATTGTATTGTAAAATGATTCTTCAGTTGTTTAAAAAGTAGAATTTACTTTGGGGAATTGCTAGGATTCAGTAGGAGGTGTTGATTTGTGTTACGTATGAATTAAATTTTAAATTTAAAAAATTATTGTAGAATTGTATTGTAAAATGATTCTTCAGTTGTTTAAAAAGTAGAATTTACTTTGGGGAATTGCTAGGATTCAGTAGGAGGTGTTGATTTGTGTTACGTATGAATTAAATTTTAAATTTAAAAAAAGTATTTTAAAATTATAAGATAAAAATTATTCTTAAATTATTTTAAAAGTAGAATTTAATTTGGGTAGTTGACTGCGAGGGTTAAGTAGAACTTGTTGATTTATGTTATGTATAAATTAAATTTTAAATTTACTTTATATGTCATTTAATATAATTTATATATCATTTATCTGTAATTTCTATACCATTTACATAATGTTTTGGTGCTGACAGGGAAAGGGAAGAGGAGGCACTCGTGTGACGAGGAAGAGGAGGGAGAGCACAAAGCCAAAAGGCAGAAGCAGGAGGGAGGAAGCTCAGAGGTGCCCTGCTGGCAGGGGTGGCACCCAGACATCTCCTGGGGACACAGCTGGCCTTGTTTGTGGCTCTTCCTCTTTTTTGTGCCTCTTCTTCCTCTTTTTTGTGCCTCTTCTTCCTCATTTTTGTGGCTCTTCTTCCTCATTTTTGTGCCTCTTCTTCCTCATTTTTTGTGGCTTTTCCCTCATTTTTCAAGGCTGGTTTTCCTCGCTCCCATCCATCACTTTTGTGTCTGCTCTTCCTTAACTTCCTTCCCCATTTCCCTCTCTTTTCCTTCCCCATTTCTCTCTTTCCCTGCCCATTTCTCTCTTTTCCTGCCCCATTTCTCTCTTTTCCTGCCCCATTTCCCTCTTTTCCTGCCCATTTCTCTCTTTCCCTGCCCATTTCTTTTCCTTCCCCATTTCCCTCTCTTTTCCTGCTCCATTTCTCTCTTTTCCTTCCCCATCTCCCTCTTTCCCTGCCCATTTCTCTCTTTTCCTGCTCCATTTCTTCCTTTTCCTTCCCCATTTCTCTCTTTCCCTGCCCCATTTCCCTCTTTCCCTGCCCATTTCTCTCTTTTCCTGCCCCATTTCTCTCTTTTCCTTCCCCATTTCTCTCTTTTCCTGCTCCATTTCTCCCTTTTCCTGCCCATTTCTCTCCCTTTTCCTTCCCCATTTCCCTCTCTTTCCCTGCCCCATTTCCCTCTTTCCCTGCCCATTTCTCTCTTTTCCTGCCCATTTCTCTCTTTCCCTGCCCATTTCCCTCTTTCCCTGCCCATTTCCCTCTTTCCCTGCCATTTTCCCTCATTTTTGTGCTTTTCCCCAGGCTCCCCCCGACGATGGCATTTACTGGCAGGTGAACCTGGAGCGTTTCCACCAGCACTTCCGTGACCAGGCTCTGGTCAGCGCCGTGGCCAGCCGCATGGACCAGGTCTGAGCCTCCGCTGCAATTCCTGCTTTTCCTGCTGCAAATCCTGCTTTTCCTGCTCCAATTCCAGCTTTTCCCCCCCTAACCCCCGCCGTTCCCAGCACAGACCAGCAGCGAGGTGGTGCGGACGATGCTGCGCATGAGCGAGGTGACCACGGCCTCGGGTGCCTCCCACACCCAGCCCCTCTCCTCCAACGAGGTGGGTCCTTGGGAGCCCGGAATCCTCTGGAACCCCTCGACATTCCCTGTTTTCATCCGATTTTTGATTTTTTTTTAAGATTTTCAGATCTCTTCCAGCTGGGTACAACATTGGGAAGCAGGTGCTGGATCAGTACCTGGCGCTCCTGGCCGACGATCCGGTGAGCCCGGGGCTGTTCCAGCCTCTCTTAATTCCATTTTTCCTCCCTTGTTCCTCTCTCTGGCTCTAAAACATTTTTTTACTGAGAGTTAAAGGAAGGTTTTTAACAGATACTTGAAGATTTTTAAAGTTATTCAACAGATATCAAAGATATTGAAATTATTGATCAGGTATTAAATAATATTCTGCATTTTATTTTACTGACATTGAAGGTATTTAACAGCTTCCTGTTATTTCAGAATACTTGAGTTATTTAACTTATATAAAGTTATAACTATAATTTTAAGTTAAAACTTGTCATTATAAGTTAAAGATATTTTTTTTCCTTGAAATCTTCCCACTCTTCCCACTCCAAATTTGAAGTAAAAATCCAAATTTTCTCCCTGCAGTTGGAGTTTGTGGGGAAGTCAGGGGACAGTGGAGGGGGCACCTACACTGTCAGTATCCTTTGGGGGGATTTTTAGGGGATTTTTGGCAGATTTGGGGGATTTTGGGGTGATTTTCAGGGGATTTTTTGGTGATTTGGGGGATTTTGGGAATGAATTTGGGCAGATTTGGGGGATCTTTTGTGGGGGATTTTGAGGATTTTGGGGGGATTTAGGAATATTTTGGGAGGGATTTTGGGCAGATAGATTTGGGGGATATTTTGTGGGGAATTTTGAGGATTTTGGGGGGGATTTAGGGACATTTTGGGAGGCATTTTTGGGTAGGGATTTTGGGCAGATTTGGGGTGACTTTGCTTGGTTTCTGGGGGGAATTTTGCGGAATTCTCCTTGACCTCAACCCCTCCAGACCTGCACAAGGCCCTGGTGTCCCTGGCCACGGCCACGCTGGAGTCCATCGTGGAGGAGAGGTGACAAAGGGGACCTGGATTCTCCCCCTGGGCTGCCCCCAGCCCCTTCCCACATCCCTCCCTCATCCCACCCCTCCTGCCCAGGTTCGGCTCCCGCTGCGCCCGGATATTCCGGCTGCTCCTGCGCAAGAAGCACCTGGAGCAGAAGCAGGTGGAGGATTTTGCCATGATCCCAGCCAAGGAAGCCAAGGACATGCTCTACAGGATGCTCTCAGAGAACCTGGTGACCTTGCAGGTGAGGGATGCCAGAGGTTGCCCAGGTGACGGGCACTTCCAAGTGATCCCACCTGGAATTTGGGCACAGGTTCCTCCCTGGGGAAGGGGATACCCCCACTGTGTTCCCACCACCCCTGTGCCCTTCCACAGGAGATTCCCAAGACTCCAGACCATGCTCCGTCCCGCACCTTTTACCTGTACACGGTGAACATGATGGCTGCTGCTCGGATGCTGCTTCACAGATGCTACAAGGTGAGCCCCAGGGATCACAGATCCTGCTCTGTCCATGCAGGAATTCCCAGGGAATCCAGGAGAACCATTGCAGCCTCCAGGACTCCACGGGTGTCACAGCCCCCTCCTTCCTGGTGCCACAATTTCTATTCTATTCTATTCTATTCTATTCTATTCTATTCTATTCTATTCTATTCTATTCTATTCTATTCTATTCTATTCTATTCTATTCTATTGTGACTCTCAGAGAGTCCAGGCTGGATCTTTGATTGGTCATTAAGCAGAAACAACTCACGCGGACCAATCCGAGATGCACCTTTTGATAAACAATGCCCAGACCACACTCCACAGCCATCAGGTGGTTTTTGTTTGCATTTCTTTCCTGAGGCTTCCCAGCTAGAACAGGAGAGAAATTGTTGATGATTCCTCTCCGTGTGTGGAGACACGAGGCTTGACTCCATTTCAGAAGGCTGATTTATTATGTTAGATATTATATTAAAATGCTACATTAAAGCTATACTAAAAGAACAGAGAGATCAGAAGGCTCAACAAGAACAGAACAGAACAGAATAACAAAAATCCTGTGACTGCTCACAGCCTTGGCACAGGTGGCTGTGATTGCTCATCAATGGAAAACAATCCACATGCACCAATCACGGATGCATTGTTGCATTCCACAGCAGCAGATAGTAATTGTTTACATTTCTCTCCTGAGGCTCCTCAGCTTCTCAGGAGAGGAAAAATCCCAGCAAAGGATTTTCCATAATATCATAGCTACAAGAAATCCCAGCGCAGGATTTTTTTTGCTAAAGACGCCGCGGTGGGCTGTTTCCTCCGCAGAGCGTGGCTAACCTGATGGAGCGGCGGCAGCACGAGATGCGGGAGAACAAGTGAGCTCCGTGCCTGGGGGCGGCCTGGCGGTGGCCACAGAGCCGCCACTGCCACCTCCCTGTGGCCGTGTTCCCTCCTAGGAGGCTCCTGGAGAAGTCCCAGCGGGTGGAGGCCATCCTGGCCTCCATGCAGGCCACGGGGGCCGAGGCAGCGCAGCTGCACGAGGTCGAGGAGATGATCACGGGTCCCGAGAGGCAGCAGCTGGAAAACCTGAAACGCAACGTCAACAAGTGAGGGGGGATGGGGGCAGGCGTGGGGGATGGGCGCTGGGGACCTTGTGGGGGGCTGCCAGTCACTGTCTGTCCCCCAGGATCGACGCCAGTGAGAACCAGGTGGATGAGACCATCTTTGTGCTGGAGGCGTTCATCGAGAGCACCACCAAGAGGCCGTGAGAGAACGGGACAAGAACAGGGACACGGACAGCACGAGGGGTGGGGACGTGGCTGGGGACAGGGACCAGATGGCCCTGCCACAGTGCTTGCACTGCTGAGGAGAATAAAGGACATTTGCAACTGCAGTTGAGTGTCAGCTCCCTGACCTGAGCTTGCCTCTGGGTGTCGTGGGCTAACGGTGGTTCCAGGGCAAAAGCTGTGAAGGAAGGCATGTTGTGGCAGTTTTGTGTTCCCCCTAACCCTAACCCTAACCCTAGGCCTAACCTTAATCGTAGGCCTAAACATAAACCCTAACCCTAGCCCTAACCCTAGCCCTAGCCCTAGGCCTAGGCAGGAAATCAGCCTAGGCCTAGGGCTGGTTCCAAGGAGAAAGCTGTGGAAGAAACCACGTCGTGGCAGGTTTGTGTTCCCCTGAGCTGCCCTTTGCAGTGTGCCTGGAGCTGTTGGCAGTGTAAGGGTTAAGAACGTGCCAGTCTCACCCCTCTCTGAGATATTTGGTCCTCGGGCACAGAAATGCAGTTTTAAAGCCTTAAAATGCTGAAAAAGGCAGAGCTTCATGTGAGCCTCTTAAAATGAGGAAGTAGGGCAGTTACCTCCACTGAAACTGATACAATGGCAAATTAATTCTAAATGGTACTAAGTGGAAAGCCCTTAAAATACCCTAAAAAAGCTTTTAGAAGGTGTGAAAGTATCCGAAACATTCCCGGAGAATTCTTTAAAAACTCCCACACCAAAAAAATAAAAACAAAAAACAAAAAACAAACAAAAAAAAACACACAAAAAAACCCAAAAAACTCCCCAAAAAAACAAAACAAAACAAAAAAGAAACCGAAACACTAAAATAGCCTTAAAAAACCCTGAAAAAAAACCCCAAAAAAACAACTTTAAAAACTGCTCAGCCCCCAACACCTACCTGTAAAATTGGTGGTTTTGGGGTGAGCTGAGGGTTGGGGTGGGGGCTGCTGCAGCTGGACCCTAACCCTGAGGGGACATCCAGGGACAGACAGCAAGAAAATATTACCTAATGGTATCAATTGTTAATGAATAAAAATTGTGTGTGATTTGGGGGAATTCCGGGGTAGGGATTTTGATGGGTTTAGGGGGTTTTTGGGGGATTTGGAGAGATTTTTGCGTTGATTTTGGGGAAACGTGGAGGGGTTTTGGGGTGATTTGGGGGGATTTTTATGGGATTTTGGGGCATTTTTGGGGGGATTTTGGGGCATTTTTGGGGGGATTTTTGGGGGGATTTTGGGGTCTCACCCCGTCCTCCCCAGGACCCCCCCAATCCCCATCCCCCCGGGGCTGTTGGGGACGTTGGGGACAGCGCCGCTCGAGCCGGGGGCAGTTGGGGACATCTCGCGACAGCCGCCGCTCCCCAGGGCCGGGCCCGGCGACAATCGCGACATCCGCATCCACCGATGGCGACACGCGACAGCCGCCCCTGCCCGGGGTCCGCCCCCCGCCATCCCGGGGACACCCCGGGGTCCCGTGTCCCCAACCCCAGCGGGTCCCGTGTCCCCCCGAACCCTCCCGGGGACACCCCGGGGTCCCGTGTCCCCAACCCCCCCAAACCTCCCGGGGACACCTCGGTCCCCCCAGACCCCCCCGGTCCCCCCCGGGCTCGGCGGAGGCTCCGCAGCAGCTCCGGGGCTCGGAGCCCGCCCGGAGAGCGCCGGGTGCGGGGAGGGGAACCGGGGACACTGGGGGGAAGAGGGGGCACCGGGCAGGCCTGGGGAGGGGGGATTTGGGCACCGGGGGCACCGGGGAGGGGGGATTTGGGCACTGGGTGCGCGATTTGGGCACCGGGGGGGCAGTGAGAGGGGATCAGGTGAGGGATTTGGGCACCAGACGTGATTTGGGGTTGATTTAGGGGGATTTTTGGGTCATTTTAGGGTGATTTTGTGGGGATTTAGGGGTGATTTGGGGGAGGGTTAGGGGTGATTGGGGGGAATTTGGGGGATTTGAAGATATTTGGGAGAGATTTGGGCGAGCTGGGAAAATTTAGAGGAGTTTTAGGGTGATTTTGAGGGGATTTGGTGTTGATTTTGGTGGATTTTCAGGGAATTTTTTACGGGGTTTTTGGGGCGCATTTTGGGGGAATTTTTGAGGGGATTTTGGGGGGATTTTTGGGGGGATTTTGGGGTCTCACCCCGTCCTTTCCCGCAGCCCGCGGGCGCCTCCAGCCCCCTCGTGCTGCTCCGGGATGTCACCAACGCCCCCCCAGCGCTGCCCTCGCTCCGGGACAAACCCAAAACCATCCGGCTCATCACCAGGGACCTGATCCGGGAGCTCATGTGAGGCTCCCCAAATCTGCCAATTTTCCCCCGATTTTTTCCATAAAATGCGGGACTGTTTCCCCCAAAAATTCAGGATTTTTTGGCCGAAAATTCAGAATTTAAAAAAAAAAAAAAAAAAAAAAATCAGGATTTTTTTGCCAAAAATCTGGTGGCTTTCCCCCCACATCTGGGATATTTTCCCCAAAATTGGGGATTTATTACCCCCAAGATTTAAGATTATTTTCCTGCAAATCCGTTTTTTTTCCCCAAAGTTTTGAATTTTTCCCCCCCAAAATCCACGTTTTTTTTCCTAAAATCGGCAACTTTTCCCCCAAAATCCGGGATATTTTTCCCCATGTCCCTGATCCCGGTCCGTGTCCCCCAGAATTTCCTGATCCCAAATTTCCTGAGCCCCAATTTCCTGAGCCCCAATTTCCTGAGCCCAATCTCTTCCCTGTTTTCCCGCTTTTCCCAATCCCGATTTCCCCGCTCTGCCTTTTCCTTATCCTGCTTTTCCCCATCCCGAATTTCCTGATTGTGAATTTCCCATTCCCTTTTCCCGATCCCGAATTCCCTACTCCTCCTTTTCCTGATCCCGCTTTTCCCCATTCCAAACTTCCTGATTCTGAATTTCCTGCTTGCTTTTCCCAATCCCGATATCCCTGCTCCTCCTTTTCCTGATCCTGCTTTTCCCCATTCCAAACTTCCTGATCCCGAATTTCCCGCTCCCTTTTCCTGATCCTCCTTTTCCCAACCCCTTTTTTTTCCATCCCCATTTTCCCAATCCCGCTTTTCCCGATCGCTCTTTTCCGGGCCACGCTTTTCCCGATTCCTTTTTTCCTCATCCCGATTTTCCCGCTCCTGATTTTCCCCATCCTGGGAATGCCCCCGGGACGTCCCCAGGAATGTCCCTGAGAACGTCCCCTGGAAATATCCCTGAAAATGTCCCCGGGAATGCCCTGGGCTGTCCCCGAGATGTCCCCTGTCCCCACAGGAGCAGCTGCGGCGGGTGCGGAGCGCGGAGCTGGGCAGGGACGAGCAGCAGGACAGGGACAAGGACAAGGACAAGGACAGGGACCAGGAGCAGCAGGACGAGGGGGAGAAGGCGAGGAAGGTGAAGCTGGAGCCATTTTGGGGGAATTTGGGACCGTTTGGGGAGCCTCTCAGCTCAAAATCTCACCCTAAAATTTGGCGGATTTTGTGGGGGATTTTGAGGTGATTTTTATGGGATTTTGTTGGGATTTGTGGGAAGATTTTGGGGTCTCAGCTGTTCTTTCCCACAGATTTCAGACCACTCTAGCCCCATCGTGCAGCTCCGGGACGTGAGGAGCACCCCGGGCCCGGTGCCCTCACCCCAGGAGAAACCCAAAACCATCCGGGTCTTCACCAAGGACGTGATCCGGGAGCTCGTGTGAGGCTCGGGGGGATTTGGGGACCCCAGAGGAGATTTGGGGACCCTCAGGGACTCAAGGGGGATTTGGGGACTCAGTGGGGTAATTGGGGACTCAGAGGTGATTCGGGATACCGGTGGGATTTGGGGACACCGTGGACACCAGGAGCTGTCCCCGTGTCCCTGATCCCGGTCCGTGTCCCCCAGAATTCCCAGGGATCGGCCCCCGGCCTCGCTCATCATCGGCGCCGAGGAATTCCAGCGGATCCAGGAGGAGGCGCGGGCTCCGCGGCAGCGCGCGGATCGGCTGCGGCTCCTCAAATCCCGCCAGGACGCGGCTTTTGTGGGCATCGCCCGATTCCCTGAGCCCCAGATTTCCTGATCCCAAATTCCCTGAGCCCCAAATTTCCTTAGCCCCAAATTCCCTGAGCCCCAATTTCGCGCAGCCGGGCCCGCAGCGCGGAGCGGCGGCAGCAGGAGCTGCGGGAGGCTCGGGCCAGCTCGGAGCTGCAGCGGGAGCGGCGGGCGCTGCTGGAGCGCGCGGCCGGGATGAGGCTGGAGCAGGAGAGCGAGATGCGGCACCTGAACTCGGTACTGCCGCAACCTTCCCCTTTTCCCTGCTCCCATTCCCGCCTCCCACAGCTCCTTCTTGTTGGTAGCTCCCCGTGTGTGGAGACGACGAGGTTTGACTCTATATTTCAGAAGGCTGGTTTATTATCTTATTTATATATATTATATTAAAATACTACATTAAAACTATACTAAAACACCAGCTGGCGGAGAAGCGGCAGATGCAGGGGGAGCAGCGGGCGGAGGAGCAGCGCCTGCAGCGGCTCATGGACAGCGAGCAGGAGAAGGAGCTGCAGCTGCAGGACGAGCTGGAGCGCTGCAGGAAGCAGGAGCTCATCAGGTCCGTGCTTCCTTTTCCTTTTCCCTTTTCCTCTACCCTTTCCCCTTCTTTTCCCTCTCCTCTTTTTAGCTTATCTCGTTTCCCTTATCTCTTTTCCCTTTCCCCATTCTTTTTTTCCTCTTCCCTTTCCCTTTTTCCTTTCCTCCTTTCTTTCCCTTTTCCCTCTTTTCCCTTCTTCCCTTTCTTTTTCCCTCTTTCCCTATCCCCTTTTCCCTTTCTTTCCCATCCTTTTCCTTCTTTTCCCTTTTTTTGCTTTTTCCCTTTCTCCCCTTATCTCCTTTCCCCTTTTTCCTTCTTTTCCCTCCTTTTTTCCCCATCTCCTTTCCCCCTTTTTCCTTTCTCCCTCTTTCCCCTTTCCCTTTTTTTGTCCTTTTCCCCTTTTTCCCCTTTTCCATTTCACTTTCTCCCCCTTTCCCCTTCCCCTCCTTTTCCCTTCCCCACCCCATACACTCCAACTCCACAATTCTGGAACCAGACCAGAACTTTTCCACTCCCGAATTCCCAAATAATTCCCGAATGCTTCCCGAATTACCAGCACCAAGCTGGAGGTGCTCCAGCAGATAGAGCAGAGGCAGGAGCAGCGGGCGCTGAGGGCCGAGCAGAAATTCCAGGAGGGCCAGAGGTTCATGGAGCACCTGGAGCAGATGAAGAGGGAGGATCGCGAGGTGGGAGATTCCCGGCGGGAATTTGGGAATTCGGGAATTTGGGTTAGAAGGGTTGGGAAGGGCGTGGGGCAGGATCGGGGCTCTGGTGGCCTTGGGGATGTGGTGGCATCATTGAGAGGGAACACGGAGCTGCTGGGGATCCCAGGGATTGGGGATCCCAAGGAATGGGGGTCCTAATGAGGGGGATCCCAGGGGTTTGGGATCCCAGGGAATGGGGATCCATAGCAAGGGGATTCCAGGGCTTTGGGATCCCATGGAATTGGGATCTGTAGCAGGGGAATCCCAGGGCTTTGGGATCCCAGGGAATTGGGATCCTAATGAGGGGAATCCCAGGGCTTTGGGATCCCATGGAATTGGGATCTGTAGCAGGGGAATCCCAGGGGTTTGGGATCCCAGGGAATGGGGATCCATAGCAAGGGGATTCCAGGGCTTTGGGATCCCATGGAATTGGGATCTGTAGCAGGGGAATCCCAGGGCTTTGGGATCCCATGGAATTGGGATCTGTAGCAGGGGAATCCCAGGGCTTTGGGATCCCAGGGAATGGGGGATCCCGGGAAATTGAGGATCCCAGGCATTTGGGGATCCCGGGGCATGGGGGTCCCACGGAATTGGGATCCCCGTGGGAAGGCGGAGTTTTCGGGACTCTGCGGTGACGGGACCGCTGTCCCCGCGCTGTCCCCGCGGTGTCCCCGCGCTGTCCCTGCGCTGTCCCCGCGCTGTGGCCAGGCCTGGCAGCAGCAGCAGCAGCGCAAGCGGCAGCTCCTGGCCGAGATGAAGGCGGTGGACGCGGAGAACCAGCGGCTGCGACAGCGCGACAGGGAGCGCGACAAGCGCGACGAGCTGCGGGCCCTGGAGGAGCAGCGCCAGAAGGGGGTGAGAGGGGGGCTGGCAGGACACTGTCACCTCCCCCGGGGCGCTGTCACTTCCCCAGGACTTTGCCACCTTCCCAGGGTTCTGTCCCCCACTGTGTGTCCCTGTCCCCAGCCGATGTCCCTGTGACACAGCTACGCCAGGGTCACAGTGGTGTCCTCGTGTCCCCAGCGGTGTCCCTGTCCCGGTGTCCCTGTCCCCAGCGGTGTCCCTGTCCCGGTGTTGCTGTCCCTCTCCCGGTGTCGCTGTCCCCAGCGGTGTCCCTGTCCCGCTGTCCCTGTCCCGGTGTCGCTGTCCCTGTCCCTGTGTCGCTGTCCCCAGCGGTGTCGCTGTCCCTGTGCCGGTGTCGCTGTCCCCAGCGGTGTCCCTGTCCCCAGCCGTGTCCTTGTCCCTGTGTCCCTGTGCAGGTGTCGCTGTCCCTGTCCCTGTGTCCCTGTCCCCAGCCGTGTCCCTGTCCCTCTGTCCCTGTCCCTGTGTCCCTGTCCCCAGCCGCGTCGCTGTCCCCAGGAGCGGGACGCGGCGCTGGAGGCGGAGCGGGCGCGGCTGCGGCAGGAGCGGCAGCGGGAGCTGGAGCGGCTCAAGGCCACGCAGGAGCACGAGCGGGGCTGGCAGGAGGCGCAGGTGGGTGGCACTGCCACCTCTGTCCCCTCCCCGGGGCTCTGTCACCTCCCCAGGGTGCTGTCACCTCCCCGGGGCTCTGCGGACCCAGCGCAGCCAGGTGGCGGCAGAACGGCAGTGGCGCGGCCGGGAGCTGTCCCTGTCCCCAGTGTCCCCACTGTCCCCAGTGCCCCCAGTGTCCCCGGTGTCCCCGCAGGAGGCTCTGTGCTCCCAGCGCAGCCAGAAGGTGGCGGAGTGGGACTGGTAGCACCAGGAGCTGTCCCGATCCCCAGTGTCCCCAATGCCCCCAGTGTCCCCAGTGTCCCCGGTGTCCCCAGTGTCCCCAGTGTCCCCAGTGTCCCCACTGTCCCCGGTGTCGCCGCAGGAGGCTCTGCGCTCCAGGCGCAGCCAGGTGGCACAGGAGCAGGAATGGCGGCACCGGGAGCTGTCCCTGTCCCCAGTGTCCCCAGTGTCCCTAGTGTCCCCAATGCCCCCAGTGTCCCCAGTGTCCCCGGTGTCCCCGCAGGAGGCTCTGCGCTCCAGGCGCAGCCAGGAGGCGGCGGAGCGGGACTGGCGGCACCGGGAGCTGCAGCGGGAGCGGCGCCGCGCGGAGCTGCTGCAGGAGCTGCAGCGGGAGCGCCGCGAGCAGGCGACAAAGCGGCGACAGCAGCTGGCACTGGCACTGCAGCAGGAGCGCCGCGACTTCCTCGCCCTGCTCAGGTGGGTGGCACCAGGGCTGGCACGGGGGACGGCGGGGGGTTGGGGACACCGGTGTCACCCAGGTGTGAGCAGGTGGCTCTGGCAGGGTCCCTGTGCCATCCTGGTGGCTCTGAGGACACCAGTGTCACCCCGGGCGCTGTGCCAGTCGTGCCCAGGAGGCTGTGTCGGTGTCCCCGTGTCACCCCAGGGGCTGTGCCAATGTCCCAGTGTCCCCATGCCAGTGCTCCAGTGATGTCCCCATGTCCCCAGTGTCACAGTGCCAATGTCCCCGTGTCCCCAGCGCCCAGGAGGAGCAGCTGGCACGCGAGCAGGACCAGCAGCTGGCACGGCAGCGGGCACAGCGCGCCCACGCGGAGGCGCTGCAGGAGCAGATCCGGGAGTCACGACAGCGGCGACAGCGCGACAGAGCCGCGGCCATCGAGGAGGGACAGCGGGAGCTGGCACGGGAGCGGGAGCGGGCAGAGCGCCTGGCACGCGTGGGACGGCAGAAACTGCAGCGCCTCAGGTGCGGTGCCACCTCTGTCACCCGCGGTGCCGCCTCTGTCACCCCCTGTGCCACCTGCTGTGCCACTTCTGGCACCTCTGTCACCCCCTGTGCCACTTCTGGCACCTCCTGGGACCTCTTCTGTCACCTGTGCCACCTCCTGTGTCACCTCTGTCACCCCCGGTGTCGCCTATGTCACCCACTGTGCCACCTGCTGTGCCACTTCTGGCACCTCTGTCATCCCCTGTGCCACCTCTGTCACCCCCTGTGCCACCTCTGTCACACCCTGTGCCACCTGCTGTGCCACTTCTGGCACCTCTGGCACCTCCTGGCACCTCTGTCACCCCCTGTGCCACTTCTGGCACCTCCTGGGACCTCTTCTGTCACCTATGCCACCTCCTCCTGGCACCGCTGATGTCCCCTCCTGTGTCACTCTGTCCCCGCAGGGACACCGGTGTCCCCGACAGGTACTGTGCCCTGGTGGAAAAGAGAGTCTGGGGCACGGCCACCTCCTGATGCCACCCGCTGCCACCTTCACCTCTGTCACCCCCGGTGTCGCCTATGTCACCCACTGTGCCACCTGCTGTGCCACTTCTGGCACCTCTGTCACACCCTGTGCCACCTGCTGTGCCACTTCTGGCACCTCTGGCACCTCCTGGCACCTCTGTCACCCCCTGTGCCACCTGCTGTGTCACCTCCTGGCACCGCTGATGTCCCCTCCTGTGTCACTCTGTCCCCGCAGGGACACCGGTGTCCCCGACAGGTACTGTGCCCTGGTGGAAAAGAGAGTCTGGGGCACGGCCACCTCCTGATGCCACCCGCTGCCACCTCCTGATGCCACCCGCTGCCACCTTGCCACCTGCTGATGCCACCTCTGATGCCAGCTGCCGTTCCCCAGGGATCTGGGGGACATTTCCCTTTTCCCCCATGGTTTGAGCCCATTTTTTCTCTCTTTTTTACCCTTTTTTTTTTTTTTTTTAGATTTTAACCCATTTTTAACCCGCTTTAATCCCTATTTTTACCCATTTTTATCCTTATTTTTACCCACTTTAATCCCTATTTTTACCCTTTTTAATCCCTATTTTTAACACTTTTTACTCCTATTTTAACCCTTTTTTACACCTATTTGTAAACCCATTTGTCCCAATTTTTAGCCCATTTTCAGGTGCATTTTAACCCACATAAAACCCATTTTTATCCTTATTTTGCCCCATTTTATCCTTATTTTTACCCCTTCTTATCCCTATTTTTACCCAGATTTTATCTATTTTTACCCATTTTTGTCCCAATTTTTAACCCATTTCATCCCTGTTTTTAACTCCTTTTAATCCCATTTTATCCCTACATTCCCCCATTTTATCCCTATTTTTAACCCTTTATAATCCCTATTTTAACCCATTTTAACCCCTATTTTCACCCATTATATATCCCAATTTTTAACCCTTTAAACTCCATGTAATCACTATTTTTTACCTTTTTAATCTGTATTTTTTTACCTGTTTTGTCCCAATTTTTATCCTCCCTCCCTTCTTGGGACCAAACCAAGTTGGGTTCAATTGGTTTGAACTGGTTTGAACCGATTTGAACTGGTTTGAACTGGTTTATTTCCATGAGGTTCTTTCGGTCAGAATTTGGGGGGGCAGAAACCCCATGGTGCGGGGAGGCTGGGGGAGACCCCCCCAAAAAATCTTTCAAATTTGGGAAGGGGGGGGGCTTTTTTGGGGGGGAAAAAAATCCCAATTTTCCACCCAAATCTGGCATTTTCAAGGAAAAAAAAAATTTCCAATTTCCCATTTCCAGGGGAAAAAAAATTCCCAAATTTCCATTTCCAGGGGGGAAAAAAAAAAAATCCCAATTTCCCATTTCCAGGGGAAAAAAAAAATTCCCAATTTTGCACCCAAACCTGGCATTTTCAAGCGGAAAAAATCCCCAATTTCCATTTCCAGGGGGAAAATTCCCAATTTTCCATTGCGGTGGGGGCGGGGGTCCCGGGGTTTGGGGACGGG